TTTCATTTGAGTTGGTGCGGTCATGTCCTGTCCGGTCATGTCCTTCTAGTGGTGACTATAGTTACTACAATAGAATACTATAATTCATACATAATAGAACGGGGGAGTGGGCGGAGCCCGTGTAGCCACTAAACTGTCACTAATATGTCAATTCACACGTATAAATGTCAACACGATATGTGTTTTGACGTAACAATTGTTTAGTACAACAAGTAACAAGTTAATTAGAAAATACCAAATTGCACGCTATTTACAAATAAACATGTATTAAAATTTAAACAACTTTTTTAATGATGATTTTGAACATTAATCAAGAGTCTAAAATGTGTAAAATTACTCAGTCTATCAAAACAGCGAATCGGGTTTGTATTTGTGATAATTCGACGTAATTGCTTGTATATATGCTCACGGTGACGCGGACTTCGTACAAAATAAGCTTGACAGCCATTCTATTGTGTATTATAGTATTCTTTGGTTACTACAGTGCCCATTTCTTTCAAAATGCTTACCTATGTTGTTTTTAAAATTTACTTTTATATGTAATGATAATGAAATGTACATATTAAATTTGTCCTCGAACTGGCATTGGAAAGTTGCCAAAGCTTGGAAACTTCCATACCAACAGGTCGTACAGATTTGTTATGCCATCGATATAAATTGATTTAATGATTTTGTCGTCGATGACGTCTACCATTTATTTATATAATATTAATATATTAGTATTAAAATTAAAGATATTGGGCTATAATTATATAGTATTAATTTTATTGTATTGCAAAAAACGTTTCTTTTATGTAAAATATAAAAATTACATTTCCCATTCGTCTCCGCATCAGATGTCTTGTGATTTAATTTTATAATATGATCCTCGTCGCCGCTATTATAGTATAGGTACCACCTGGCATATCCATCGATCCATCAGTTTATAAAGAGCAATGTTGGAATTAGAAATCAGTCATAAAATAAACTTGGCTGCAATAACCATCTTTTGCACGCAAGTTGGTAATCAGTGCTAAGTATTTTACTTAGGATGGACTTGTATGTGGTATTTAGACCTATTGTATAGGTTGGAGAGGAGAAAAGAAAACAAAAGATCAGCAAGCATATAGTAAAAATAAATGGAGAAGGAGGAGAAGGTGAATAAAACAACTATTGTCTATGGGCATGTAGTAGAAGAAGGTTGTAACTTCTTATGCGATATCCCGGAGTCGAAAGCAATAGTCAAAAAGTTGTAAATTATTGCTGTCGCACGAATACGTCCGCTTGACCGGTGAAAGACCACGCTCTCATAGAAAATTAGCGTAAAGTATATTGCTGTTGAGTTTTATGTAGTAAGAATGGAAAACCGCAGACCATTTTAATTCGTAACGAAGCGTTCGCATTTTTAGCCTGACACCGCATTTGTATTTTGAAATGTGGCTATGGACTACTAAACCCATTTACCATCAGATAATTGTGCGTTTGTTACTCTTAAGTAAAAGAAGTTCAGGAAACCGGGGTCGCGTACATGTAGCCCAATATCATGCTTCAATATCACATGTACTTGGGATATCTACCTACCCTTATGAAAGAAGCGCGTTAGAAGTGATTCACGACTGTAGTCAAATGGCAAATTTGAACCCACGACTTTTCGAATTTGCGGTCACCACCTTAACTGCTAGGCCACTGTCGCTTAATGTTTAAAGACGTTCTTAGAAGTATTTTACTAACTCGGTTGACAATTAAGGAGTGAAATCCTAGCCTTATCAAAGTAGAGTTTGGAAACTTCGCTTGAAGGATCATTATTGTAATATAATGGAAGATCAATATAAACTTAACTGAAAACTGAACGTAACATCATTTTAATTGAATTTAAAATGCGATGGACTGATGTAGATAATAGATACGAGGATCACTCGTACATGGATGGACTTTTGACGAATCCGTAACCCGATGAGCGTTGCTGTGAGGTTGCAGGTTCGAATCCCGCAAGGAATAATTTTTCCGAATCTGGATGTATGTCCATGTGAAGTTTGTGTGTGTGAGACGCCTAAAGGATACAGTATAAATACCTGATGTAGGAATGACATTTTATAAGCATTAAGATCTAAAGTAACAATAATAAGCGACTGAATAATATTTACTATCTATCGATTACACTAAAATAATGAGAATTTATCAACAAGTCTTGTTCTGTAGATGTAGTAACAGTCGATTTAAGGAAATACTAGGAATATCCCATGGTTTCTGATCGATTACGGCAAGTAGCCCATATCTTGAGGAGACTCTACTTTTTCCATTGAATAGGGTGACCAACAAGTAGACAGTCCAACCTGATGGAAAGTGGATGTAGTGGCCCATAGACATCTTTATTTATCCTCGATTAAGAATCAAAATGCAAATGCGTTGTAAGTGTAACCCGTGAAGGCTAAGATGGAATGCCTCGTTTCCAGTAAAAAAGGTCGTCGGTTCTCTACACTCACCATACGAAACACAGCAGTGTTAAGCTGCTATTTTACGCTAGTAATCTGTGAGAGCGTGGTCCCGGTCCGATCGAGCCGACCCATTCGTGCTACAACTATAATATAGTTGCAGCGTGGCTACCACGTAAACCAGTTTAGGTTGATTTTATCAAAAACCTAAACAAGTTTAGGTCAAAAAACAGGATTATCTCTGATTTATGATAACATAAATTAGTAATTTTGTCTTCTTCCGCTTTTTGGTCAAAAGCCTGATTTGACCATACACCTGTGACGTATGTGTACCGTCATCTGTGCCGAAATCACAATCCATTGGACCACATGTCTGGACAGTGGTCGACAATAATCAAAAGTTTCATATCAGCAACAACATTCTCTCACCTTGAATTTGGTTCCGCAATGTGATGCAGTTGCTCTGAGGCCGTACATATAAAAGGTCAAGGCGTTAAAAATGCAAAACGTACGAGTATTCTAATAAATCTTATAACACAGGTATTCCGTTGTTTTGATCTTTTATTCGATTTTTTCTTATTGTCTTTCTAAGACAGTCATCCGATTCTGAGTTATGTTCAAAGTTAAAAGTTTTTCTTCTTCTATAGCCCTTTACAACCGGAGATTTTTTTTTCAGATTCTAACTATAAAACTTTTATGTTGCCTTCCTACTAGGTATATAGAGCTCAAAAAATCAGTTAAAAAAATCTCGAGGTCATAGCTTACCCACAAATCCACCCGCACGATCGTGAGTCGCAGGTCGTACACGACATAGTCACGATCGTGAGGGTAATTTAAACTAGCCCTATGTTTTGGTACTTTAAAGAATAATTAAAAAAGCTTATACTTAATCAGCCTCTTTATTAATTATTTAGTTATTTTAATCATTCAGTCTCATATAATTTTTTTTTAGAACTAAACATTAATTCGTGCCTTTGGCAACATAATACAAAATTTTCTGTAAAATATATACAAAACAAAACAAACTTTTAAAGTTGTACGCTACAATAAAAAATAATTTTAATTATTGCTTCTAAAGCAAATCAGGAACTATCAGATCATCCTCTGGTATGGTAAGACTTGAAACAGTCTTTGCCACGTGCGATACACAAATACGTGTCGCATTTTGTGCAGCGTACCTTTATGCGACTGATACAATTTTCGTACCTGCACATTCTAGGTGCTTTTATTTCGTCGAACACTGGAAAATGTTCGTATCCATCATACCGCTTTGATTCAGACGGTTTGTTTGCTGGTCTGTACTGTCTTTTCGGAAGAGGAGATTCATTTTCATCCAGCGGCGGTTCATTTTCAATATTGCTCGTCGATGGCCGGTTTCTTGCCGGCAAACTTGACAATCCATCAGCAATGTTCATGCGGAAGTCTAACAAGGACAAAATTTCCCTCCTGCTTAATTTATTTGCCATACAATCATTACGATACAGTCGCCAAGAGTTGACAATTGCCAAGTCAAGAAAGTGTATCAGTACTTTCAGTGTCCATTTCTTTGTTTTGATGAATGTCCGATAATACTCCATCTGCTGGTCCAGAACATCAACACCCCCCATGTGTTGGTTGTAATGCTCGACTACTTTTGGGACAGGTACGTCTACGTACATCTTCAAGTGTTTTTCCCATCTCTTGACGATTGAAGATGAGGACGAGCCGGTGCAGTTTGACGCCATTAGAACGGACTTATTGTCTTTCCATTTGACGACGACAGTCGGTCCGCAAACGTACTGCTGTGATTCTCCGCGAGCCATTCTAGCATCTGGTTTAAATTTAATCGCAGTACGGTCAGGGATCCTGTTGAACATGATTGTTCCCGTACTGTGAAGATTCCTCTTTGTCATCTCTTCAATTAGCGGAACAGTCGTAAAATATCTGTCGTGGTAGACACAGCTTCCAGGCGGTACACTTTTCACCAGATGCAGAACCACAGAAGCTCCAAGTCCAAGAGATGTATCTGCAAACATGGTTTTAGCTCCTCGATATATGTCGAAGTCTAGCATCAAGCCTTCACTTGTGGTCAGCACAAAGTTCTTCAAACCCACCGGGCGTGGCTTATTTCGGACTACCTGGCGAAGTACACATCTGCCAGTAAATGGTACCATTTGCTCGTCAATGGAGTAGAAGCCAGGAACTCTTTCAAGTTTGTTACAGGCTAATTTTAACCGGTCAATCGTCGGATGTACTTTCCACAGTGGATTGTTTACTATTACTTGGCGGAGCTTCATCAGCATCTACGATGTGCAATGCATTGCGGACAGTCAAGAACCTGTCACGAGCCATTTGTTGAGTTATTATATCCAGTTTTATTCCACCTCTCCAATACATCGGGACACGGGGGTAGGGAATACATCCAATGATGATGTGTATTGAAAAAACTCTGGCTACTTCAACTGTTGTAAGTTTCAGTTCCTGGCCCGTTTTTCTGTGATGGTACATGTTTGTGCACCTGGCAATTTCATCAAAAAACTCTCTGTTGAAATAGTCGGAGAAATACTCCATTGGAGTCCTGACCGGAGTAACGGGCAAGGGAGCATAGTCATGACTACAATCGTCGAAAGGTACCTGCTTCCAAACTCTCTTTCGAGAAGGTGGCCGTAAAGATCGAGGGCGCGGAGTTAGTTGTGATGGTCCAGGAGTATCTTGCATCGGTTCCGGCTCCGGTGCTACAGACGGCTGTGGTTCAGGCTCTGGATCATCCAACTGAAGATTTTCGAAAGTGCTGGGTTGGATTTCGTCGTCGTCGTCCTCAAAATCTTCGATGTCGGAGAAGTTTCCATCGCCCAGCAATTGTATAACTTGATCTTCGTTCAAACTTCTGCGTAAAACGTTAAAAAAGTAACTATTAATTACAAAATCTATGTAAAAACAATCATCAAGTACAGTACCCACTCCCGAATAATGTTTCGGTAGTACATCCGGAGCCGCACGATCGTAGCGGTCGTACTTTATAACGTAATTCTAACGAAACCGTAAAGGTCAGCACAAAATCAAAATAATCTAGGTATTGGGTTATCTTTTAACTTTAAAATAATTATAAAACACAATCAAATACTTTCAAATTACTATTAAAAATAATTACTTACCCGCGGCGCGGCGAGGATCGAAAAACGCAGCCATCTTTCATCTCAGCTCACAGGTGACTGACTGCTCCCATCCCACCCGTATCTATTTTCCGCGCGTAAAATACACCTCGCGAACGATCGACGCCGGTTGCGTTCGGAAAAAGTAAACCGTTTGGTGCCAGTATTTTTTTGAATTTAAACTCACGCTCGTATCAGTCCGAGTGTAAAGGGATAGAATAAGGTGATAATCGAGCACACAGTCCACCTGATGGTAAGTAGTTAATGCAGCCCATAGACATCTAGATCTATCCTGGATTACGAATAAAAATACAGATGCGTTGTTATCCGTGAGGTCTAAGATTGAATGCCTTTTTTTCAAATAAAAAGGGTCTCCGGATCTCTACACTCACTATACGAAACTTAAAGCTGCTATTTTACACTGGTATTTTGTGAGGGCGTGGTCCTTACCCGGTCGAGCCGACCCATTCCTGCTACAACCATAATATAGCTGCAGCGTGGCTCTATCACGTAAGGTGTATGATGAAGCTATAATCATGTCTTTGCTTTTTCTAGGGAAACATTGAAACTCAGAGTGAAGCAAATGGAGAAAAGTACTTTCCTAACACGTTTGTTTAGGAAATACACAAGGCGGCTCCACATCTACATTGACTGCAGCGAGCCAGAGCTTGAGAATTTTACTAACTATATCCTGCCTCAGTAAGTATAAACTATCAAACTATCAAAAATGTATGTTGACGTATCATCGAAGGCGTGTACGTGCGGCAGCTAACGGTGAATGTAGTTTCTTGACGTTTGTTGGGAGAATCAAAACTCGGGGATTTACTGGATTAAAATTTTGCAATGTCAACGGGTGCGTTTGGCAGAAAAAAGCGCTAGCAAGCGCTTACAAGCGCTGAAATAGTTTTCGGCCAGGACACGATTGCTACTTCAGTAGCGCTGACACAATCCGCCATTTTGCTTATTTAATTTGTTTGTTTTGAAGTAGAGTTTATAAGTTGTTTTGTGCAATATTAGTTTTAGGTAATAAAATGACATGAATAAACATATTATACATGTTATTATAAATTCATGATTGGTAAGTATTTAATATGAATATTTTACAAACATATATTTAAATTAGGTTAGGTTCCCCGGTTAAAACTAACATCGTGTCCTGGAGGAAAATAGCTCCTTACGATTTGACAGCGCTTACCGCTTACGATCGCCATTTTGCTTACAAGCGCTTGCTAGCGCTTTTTTCTGCCAAACGCACCCAATGTTTACCGTTACAGCCTATTAATTTCCACTTCTGTACACAGGCCTACCCCATAGATCCCCTCATACCCTCATATGATAGATATATATGATATGATAGATATGATAGATACTCTCTTGGCGGGGGGGGGGGGGACATTTGCTATAATTGCATAGAGAATATAATAGTCTTTTTATAATTGTCACGCTCGGCAAGTGGATTGGTAACAAAAGTTTTTATTTTATTTTTAGTCGTTATTAGGAAGATGCTGCTGCTCATCTCCTGATTTGTTTCCCTCTGTCGCCTTTACGACACCCACGGGATGATGTGGTGTCTATGCTGTAGTGACCTGTAGCCCCCACGACAATACCTAGTTATGTATATTAGAGTAATTAAAGTCACAATAAGAGTAACACGCCTTTCTTCTCATTGACCTTTCCAACATTATGCCTCCTCTTCTACACGTTGACAGAAGCGTCAGCAGACGCCGACAGATGCATCAGCAGATGATTCAGCACGAGTCGTTCACACGTCTGTAGGTCGTTTAGTCTGTACTATGTATTAATCCGCGACAGCCAAACTCGCACGCACGCAATATAAAAAAAAATAATGTTGAGACCGTAACTGCCTTACTACTACTTGAGTGTGTGTCGCAGTAGAGTTATTAAAAAAAAATAAAACTCGCAAAACTGGCAAATACCGCCATGTCTTTAAACCTGTTATTATTTAATTGTTATTTTCGCTAACCCATAGACAGTTTAATGCTGGATATAGGACCCGCACCTACCTCTTATCGAAAGCCACTAGAACACTACTTAACACTTTCCATGCTCGAATAAAAATCCCGCTCGGTTTCTTACTGGTCCTTCCCAGGACAGAGGTTTTTTCCAAAGCAGTGGTAAATTAAACAAAAGAGTGACTCTATAAATATTATTTATAATCTATATTAAATAAAAAAGTTTCTCTTTCTATTTCTGTTCCGTAATCTCCTTTATGTTACTCATACGTAGTTGTGGGAACACTTATGCGTGATGCGTCGTCAGACATGTGGACAGACGCCGTGCACTCGCGCTGAAACATTTTGTTGCTTGCCACAAAAACCGACAGTAAACGGATTGGTGGCAGAAGCGTCTGCTGACGTGAATACCTACCCTAGACGAGCAAATTCCTCCGTCTACACGAATCCGAAGATAACATCCGCTGACGCATCTGTTGACGTATAGAGCAGGCTTTACATGGCGATCCTGCCAGAATATCATTTAAGACGTCATTACATTATCGTCATGTAATACGCACGCTATCGTAATTATACGCGATTTCTATTACATAATCACGTTGCTATGATACAAAGGCATTGATTAAACACGTTCCAATGATAAGATGTTAATTTTATATTGAATTGTATAACTATTTCACGTAATAAGTACGGGTCCCATTCTACTTAGGAGTCTGCTGGCATCTTCTACTTTGTAATTACTCTATTTCTTCTATCAACCAGCCGTTGCCTATTCTACTGCATCAAGGTAACCATACACGCTAGGATCCTGATATGTTTACCTGTACAGTTGAATTGTATAAGAATAATCCTTATTCTATATTTTTTTATATATAATAAGGGTGATAAACAGGTACACAGTCCACCTGATGGTAAGTGGAAGCTGTCGCCCATAGACATCTACATTTAATCTCGATGAAAAATCAAAATGCAGATGCGTTGTCACCCCTGAGGACTAAGATGGAATGCCTCATTTCCAGTAAAAAGTTTCTGTTTCTCTATACTCACCATACGAAACACAGCAGCATTAAGCTGCTATTTTAAGCTGGTTTTCTGTGAGAGCGCGGTCGTACCCCGGTTGAGCCGACGCTTTCGTACTACGTTGCATATGTACACCCTAACGTGTATGGCTACCTTTAGGGGTCCTAGAAATATACATAGTAGGCGGAACTACCATAATATTTCAATAAAGACTGACTATGAGTGTGGCGGTGTAACAATTCCACTACCCCATATCGTCCCGTGGGTGTCGTAAGAGGCGACAGAGGGAAACAAACATGGAGATGGGCAGCAGAGTCTTCCTAATAACAGCTAGGAAATCTATAAGAATTGCGGTTGCCAATCCGCCTGCCAAGCGTGCCAACTATGGCAAACATATAATATTTTATACGTGGTAGAGCCATGCTGCAGTTATATTAGTAGCATAGTTGTAGCACGAATGGGTCGCCTCGACCTGGGAAGGATCACGCTCTCACAGAATACCAACGTAAAATAGTCGCTTAATGCTGCTGTGTTTCGTATGGTGAGTGTAGAGAACCGGAGACCCTTTTTACTGGAAACGAGGCATTCTATCTTAGTCCTCACGGGTGACAACGTATCTGCATTTTGATTTGCAATCGAGGATAGATGTAGATATGTCTGTGGGCTGCAGTAACCACTTACCATTAGGTGGACTGTGTGCTAGTTTGTCACCCTATGCTATTAAGAAAGTCTCCCCTTATGAACAATTTACGGGAGGCATACAACAGTGGACTTTAATGTCCTGTAATGTATGAATAGATGCGGTAAGGCTTTTAATGAAGACTCAAATCAGAAAGAAAGAACAAAAACTTTATTTGACATCACAAAAAAAGTTAAGTCAAAATATATTCAGTTTATTGCTGCCGAAAGGACAGTAGCGATTGCTTTAAAAATTTTTTTGCATAATAAAGCCCGACGTTGACTTTACGGAGGTACATACTTAGTAAAAAACATTACAAGAACATTTTTAAAAGTGTTGCTACTGAGACGCTCTACTGTATGATCTAAGACAGTCTCTTGATAAATTTTAGACGTAGTTTTTAACCTTTTTGGAATCGCCTACCACCAGCGATTTTCCCACACTGATATGGCTTAGGAACTTTAAGAATAGAGCCTAATCTTTTTTGCTTCATAAAAACATTACAAGTACATTTTTAAAAGTGTTGTTACTGAGACGCTCTACTGTATGATCTAAGACAGTCTCTTGATAAATTTTAGCCGCAGTTTTTATCCTTTTTGGAATCGCCTACCACCAGCGATTTTCCCAGACTGATACGGCTTAGGAACTTTAAGAATACAGCCTAATCTTTTTTACTTAATAAAAACTTTACAAGTACATTTTTAAAAGTGTTGCTACTGAGACGCTCTACTGTATGATCTAAGACAGTCTTTTGATAAATTTTAGACATAGTTTTTATTCTTTTTGGAATCGCCTACCACCAGCGATTTTCCCAGACTGATACGGCTTAGGAACTTTAAGAATACAGCCTAATCTTTTTTTACTTAATAAAAACTTTACAAGTACATTTTTAAAAGTGTTGCTACTGAGACGCTCTACTGTATGATCTAAGACAGTCTTTTGATAAATTTTAGACATAGTTTTTATTCTTTTTGGAATCGCCTACCACCAGCGATTTTCCCAGACTGATACGGCTTAGGAACTTTAAGAATACAGCCTAATCTTTTTTTACTTAATAAAAACTTTACAAGTACATTTTTAAAAGTGTTGCTACTGAGACGCTCTACTGTATGATCTAAGACAGTCTTTTGATAAATTTTAGACATAGTTTTTATTCTTTGTGGAATCGCCTACCACCAGCGATTTTCCCACACTGATATGGCTTAGGAACTTTAAGAATAGAGCCTAATCTTTTTTGCTTCATAAAAACATTACAAGTACATTTTTAAAAGTGTTGCTACTGAGACGCTCTACTGTATGATCTAAGACAGTCTTTTGATAAATTTTAGACATAGTTTTTATTCTTTTTGGAATCGCCTACCACCAGCGATTTTCCCAGACTGATACGACTTAGGAACTTTAAGAATACAGCCTAATCTTTTTTTACTTAATAAAAACTTTACAAGTACATTTTTAAAAGTGTTGCTACTGAGACGCTCTACTGTATGATCTAAGACAGTCTTTTAATAAATTTTAGACATAGTTTTTATTCTTTTTGGAATCGCCTACCACCAGCGATTTTCCCAGACTGATACGGCTTAGGAACTTTAAGAATACAGCCTAATCTTTTTTTACTTAATAAAAACTTTACAAGTACATTTTTAAAAGTGTTGTTACTGAGACGCTCTACTGTATGATCTAAGACAGTCTTTTGATAAATTTTAGACATAGTTTTTATTCTTTTTGGAATCGCCTACCACCAGCGATTTTCCCAGACTGATACGGCTTAGGAACTTTAAGAATACAGCCTAATCTTTTTTTACTTAATAAAAACTTTACAAGTACATTTTTAAAAGTGTTGCTACTGAGACGCTCTACTGTATGATCTAAGACAGTCTTTTGATAAATTTTAGACATAGTTTTTATTCTTTTTGGAATCGCCTACCACCAGCGATTTTCCCAGACTGATACGGCTTAGGAACTTTAAGAATACAGCCTAATCTTTTTTTACTTAATAAAACATTGCAAGAACATTTTTAAAAGTGTTGTTACTGAGACGCTCTACTCCTTTTGATAAATTTTAGACGTAGTTTTTAACCTTTTTGGAACATGCCTTCTTTGTGGAATCGCCTACCACCAGCGATTTTCCCAGACTGATACGGCTTAGGAACTTTAAGAATACAGCCTAATCTTTTTTGAGGGCTGGCAACGCCCCTGAAATTCCCCTGATTTTGCAGTTGTTTATGGGCGACGGTATTAACTTACCTACCATAATTCGTTTGCCCCCTCTTGTATAAAAAAAATCGAAAAACCTTATTACCTAAATACGCATTGCTTTTGTGTCTTGAATGTTTATTTTCGTTAGGGAAAGTCGATTTGAATTCTGTTGTGAAACTACGACAAATAATTTGAAAGCAATGCTCTACATATATAATGAGATAGTATCTTCGCTTTTGTAACACTGCTAGCAATATTGTTATATAACCTCAATGGTTTTGTACATTTGAGTGTTGAACGTCGATATTACTAAGGGGTGGAAAGTCAGGGATGTGTGTATGTATATTCGTTTAATGCTATATGTATGCAATAATAAAATATTTAGTCAAACATAAACATAAAACATAAAATACTCACCTTACCGTGCATATATATCTTGGAAATCTACAAATTCATTAAAAAAATACCCAGAATTTTATATCAAACGTGGAGAAAGTAATACCAGATACCAATTATGCCATAACGAAAAACTGAGTATAACCATATCTCACCTTAAACTACATTCATCAGGTGCCTTCGTCATGTCTATCAAAATTTTTAACAAACTCCCAAACTCAATAAAAAAAAAAATAGAAATACACACTAATATTATAAATAAACTAAAGGAATTTTTAATTTGTAAACACTACTACACTAAACGAATACCTAAATGACAAACTTTAAATGTCTCCTACAGTTGCTATATAATTTAGTGTATTCATCATTATTGTTTCACTAAAATGGTCCTCCTCTCTCTTAATTGCCGTGCCCTGCAGGGCCCATAATGATCTCATAGTTTTAAGTTAAAACTTAAAATGTTCTTAACACCTTAACTGTAATATTATGGATGCAATAAATAATATGAATATGAATATGAATGATTTGGGTAAGAGCCACGCTCACTCGCACAGTATTTTCTCTGTCTGTCTGTATAGTCAGTACGGTCGCCTCTGTGTCATCTTGTTAAAGACGCCGCGCCGCCGCGCCGCGACATCAAGGGCTGCCGCGTGCGGCGTACATCCACAGGAAAATTTGGAAAAGTTTTTTATTTTCGCCAGCAGCGCACAAACGAGTGCCAACAAACGTGTGGACGCGTCGCAAAAGCTTGCGGCAAATTCAGTTTGATTTGTGAAGAAAAATCGATACTCGACGGATCGGATACAAACGCTTGCAAACCTACGCAAACCAAGTCAAACACTATCCGTTTGAATTTGTGACGGCTTGTTGAGGTTTGCCAAGCGTGCGGACGTGGCATATCATTTTTACCATGCTTAGCAATAGGGTTGGCAACGCAGAAAGCACCTGCCTAGTATAGCTATACTAGCTATGCCTAGTATTGCTTCTTACAACACTTATTTAATCGAAATATTCTCTTAAGGTGACTCTAGTCGACATTCTTTCCATAGAAATTTCGGAGGGGTTTTACTCCGCTGTTTGACAGTGTACATCCAAAGTTAAACATGATATCGTTTTGTCTCATTATTAATTTTGTCTGTACCGAAACAGAATAATAAAATAAAAAGTCATTAAAAAGTTACGAGCTACCAAAGATTCGTTTTTAATGCCAATTTTAACACAACTTTGGGCGTAAATTAGTAATAAAAGCAGTGTAAAATTTCCAAAACAAAGTCGGTACCGACACAGCTCAATTATCGAAGAATTCAATAAATTTTATTGGTAATTGATTCATGCAGTGGTTTTTTCATAAAACCCCTCCTTTCAAAGGCCTTTTCGTATTTTTTTTACGCGCGCGTGTTTATATGAATTATCGTGCATCTCACTGAATAATATTTCCCTCGGTGCGGTGCGGGAGGACGACACTTACACACACATGCATGCGCGGTGACGCGCGCTTATTCTAGTTTTATTCGACTCAGTCAGCTGCGGCCTGTGACGTTCGTATGACTATAGCTATACCTACGCTCTAAATTACTACGCTACATTGACCCCTGCTTGAACTTTGGATTAAATCAAATTGATATAAGCACAGACAAAAATAGAGGAATATATAAATAAAATTTGAAAAGATTAATGTTCCGCTAATTTTATCTGTACTTACCTATGTCAATTTGATTTACATTCGATTATAATTATATTCTCAGACGTGCAGGTTTCCTCAATATGTTTTTCTTCACCGCCGAGCACGTGGTAAATCAGCACAATTGCAATTAACAATTTCATTGGTGCCGGCGGGGATCGAACTCGGGTCTGCATGTCTGAGAAATTAAAAAATATATATTTCGAAGAAATGTGAAGTTCGTCAACACGCATTGAGGCGGCGTGGCGGACATTTCCTTGCCTTAAAACCCTCTCAGGAATTAGAGGAGGCCTGTGCCCAGCAGTGGGACGTATATAGGCTGTAAATTTACTTTTTTTTACTTTTATAAATATGTTATTTTACCGACGAAAATTTTAAAGAAAAAAAGTAAGCAACCGACAACCTCCTAGGTCCCTAGGTGACTTGCGAGATGTCAGTGTAACAAAACAAAACGGCCCAGAAAAACAGACTTTCCAACTGATAGCTAAATCAGCACGCAACAATTTCATTGGTGCCAGTGGGGATCGAACCCGGGTTGCTCCCGTACTGTGATACCTATAACGAGCGCTAACCATGTGAGCTACCACGGCTCTCAACGACATCGTTCCGTTCGTGTACAGCGCTGAAGATAGCAGAGTAAAAAATTAGAGATTGTGGTGTTTGAAATTTGTCATCTGTGAGAGTGAATTTTATCTGTGTACTCTGTAACAAATAACTATATAGAAAAAAATGTGAAAATGACATTTCGCCATTTTTGTTTGTGTACTGGTTAGGAACAGTCAGACCGACAGACAGACAAAAATTTTAAAAATTGTGTTTTTGTTACTAGTACTTTCATATGCATTTAATAAAAATCTGTTATTTTAACATTACAAACAGACACTTCAATTTTATTTATTTGTAGATATAGATATAAGATATTATTCATATTGGTGTCATTTTAAAGGGAATATCATGTACTATTATAATAATAAAATAATTGTCTCCAGTAAATATTATACTTTTCTTGTAAAACTCGAAATAACAAATAAATACGATTTATTTTTATATTCCCATATGCTTTATTTTCATCCTTTATTTTTTATTTGACCAATTTTCTTTTAACAAAATTAAATTCTGAATTCGTTGAGCTTTTTGCGAATATTTTTATTTGAATGTTAGGTAGGTACCTATTTAGTTTTTCAGTAGTAATCGTTTTTGTTGCGACAGTCTCGCGCGGTCGTAAAAAAAAGTTACTGCGCGGACAGGTGGGACGAGAATCACTTGCGCGGCGTGGACGGTGGATAGGTACCTACCTACTGTTATTACCTAGATACCCACAACCTACTATACAACAAAATTTGACAAACTGTCGCTGCGTCGTGGAAACTAAAATCTAAACTGCCTACCTACCTGCCTAAGTACGTCGGTACTAAGGAAACAGTCTTGACGGGTCACTTGTCTTGATAAAAACATGTGTTTACATCTAGTGATATTGTGTGTATATAAAAAAAGTAAGAAGACTGGTAAGTATTTTTGGTAAAACAATTTATAGGTAGGCAGAACTAATTACAATTATTATCTAAATATTATAAATGCGAAAGTTTGGATGGATAGATGTATGTTACTCAATCACGCCAGAACAGCTGAAGGGATCTGGATGATATTTAGCTCAGAGATAGGTTATACCTGGTCTGGAATAACACATTTGATACCGTTTATTCAGGTATTTCGTTCCTGTGGGATAATTTTCGAGTTCACGCGTTTGAAGCCGCTGGCAACAGCTAGTACGGATATAAACTGCGATGACTGTTCCAGTTCATGCTTCGGCGTCGTGAACTCTTGAGTGATCGCTGCATGACCACCCGGGGAAAACAAAACATAATAAAATAAGCAATATATATTAGGTATCTATAGAGCCATAGAGGTATAGTATAAAGCGATAACGTAATAATTTAGTACGAGTTTGTAGGTAGGTACTGCTGATTTCTCAGCAAGCGTCGAGCGGCACAGAATAGGGTGGTATGTATGTGTGCATCGTGTTCGTGTAACTTCGTTTTTGTTCTAACGGTTCGGAACGCCGTACGAACAAGACGTGCGTTCTAACTGCTCTTCACTGATACTATCTCTGTCGGGCACGATGCCAGGTGAGACAACGTGCTTTTTGGCCGCGCCCACCAATGAGTTCGAGCCCGCGACTTGTGCCACCTTAAGCAACAAAATTACAATATTACATGTAATGAAATTAAGTTAATAAAATAAATTTAAATAAAGCTATTTACTATTTCTAGATTCTTCGACACGCAGAAGTTGATTGAAGTGATATTCATTGGTCCGAGCTATATACGACAGAATCCCCATACGCCTGTGGTTAAGTTAAAGAGGTAATCACATTTGCTATTGCTTTAAATAGAGATGATAAGATTGGAAATACATTTTTATTAGATTTTTTTGTTTAAATGGCATTATCCTAGGATTTTGTCCTGTGTGGTAAAGCCGTTTTACAAACATATGTGGTAAAGCCACGCTGCAGCTCTTATAGTTGTGACACGAATGTGGCGGCTCGACGGGGGATGGCCACACCCTCGCAGAATACCAACATAAAATAACAACTTAATGCTGCTGTGTTTCGTATGGTGCCCACAGAGTATCACACAGAGTAATCCTTTTTAGGTAACGGGACATTCCATTTTAATCCTCAGGGGTGACAACGCATCTGCATTTTGATTCTTAATGGAGGGTAGATAGAGAAGTCTATGGGCCACAGCATCCACTTCTCTTCAAGTGGCCACGGTTTTCTCGTGATGCTTTCCTTCTGCAGGGGCCACTTTCCATCAGGTGGATTAAGAGTTCGTTTGTCTCCTTACTTTAATAAAAAAATACTATAACACTTAAACTAAACTAAACGTTTGTGATATTGATGGGGACCGAACTCTGCTCGCGTATTGTTTAATTTTAAAGTGAGCTATATATACAATATGTAACATAATTAACGCACACCCTCAGACACCCCAATTAGTATATTATGTTATAATCATAATACTTACACTGAATTTTAGTTAAACATTTTTATGCACTGATTATTTATCAAATTAATTATACTAATTCCGGAAGAATGTTGTGGTCACGGTACAAATCGACGAAAGTAAAGACTTTAACATGCTTGAAATAAAGTTCATTTTTCTTTATTTTTATTGAATGACAGAATTAGCAATAATACAAATAAAACTGCACTCTTAAAAGTCTTATTGCCTTAAGTTACGGTCCATTTCAGTTTGTTTTGACTGTACAGATTTAGTGTGACTGTAATTTACGTAGTTTTAATTATTTTTAGGAACGATTCTGAACAAACTACTGTCTCAAAGTGCGTTAATTATGTTACGTGTTGTATATATATATATTTTTATTTTTTTTTATATATATAATATATAAGTATAATCTCACTAATCCGGATCTATAAAAAACCAAAGGGTGCCAGATTATTGGAATGTCGGATTACTGGATTATAGAGAAAAAATCATAATGAATAAAATAAAGCATTTCATAGAGATAATACATAATGTAATTCCATAGTTTTAAAATAATCCTTAACTGAGGTCTGCTTTTGTGCAACTTGTAATCCTTGCTTAAAAATCTTTTCTCGCATGTTTCGAAGAATCATAATGTCTTTGGCAGATATGCCGTAATTCTTCTTTGTCACTGAACTCTCCTAAACAGCGGAACAAATTTTGATGTAATTGGATGATTTAGATTCATAATTGGACCCTAGGTGGCGCTGTTGCTTAGATCCAAAAATCATCCGTGTAAAGCCGGAGCGAATTGCTTGTTTTTTGTATAAAATTTCAGTAGCGCTTATAAACATTTTGTTGTTTGCAGAAAAATAACAGAGAGCTTGCTGTTCAAACACATCCACTGTATACAGAGGTTGGCGTTTATGGGTTGTGAGATGAGCGCAGCACAGAATGTCGAAAACGAGAAGTATACGGTAAATTATAGTAATACTTTTTCAACTTCTTATTAGTCCAACTTGGACCGAGGTCAATCGACGGATCCAACTCGGCTAGGCAGCGTTTGTGTGATTACGGTACACCTTGTTGTCACATGCACCTCAAAACAAAATTGTACCACCAGTGCGTGTTGCCATCAATGACATATGAGAGACCACGGATGATTAAAAAAAGTAAAGACTCCGCACCGTGATACTAGCGAGTGAAGCAACTTTTATGTTTTATATGTGTACGTAATATCCGTAATAAATAATAATAATAATGTCCTACAGATCGAATTTCGGCCACGGCGGCCTGCCTCAACGGAGGCTAGCCATCGGCGCAGGACAGGATTATAGTGCCCTGTATGCGCAAGCACAGGTGCACTCTCTATTCCCTCACTCTCGTAATCCGATGGGATGGTAAACCGACACGACCGGAGAGAGATCAGGCGCAGGACCAACGGCTTTACGTGCTTTCCGAGGCACGGGGGTGCGACACCGCCAACTTCCTGACTCCGGGCAACTATTGAGAATTTATTGACGGAAAAACTCAATAATTGATTTTTGGCCCGACCGGGGATTCGAACCCAGGACCCCATGATCAGCAGTCGCACTACTACAACCACTAGACCATCGAGGCAGTCAAGCGTAATAAATAATGTTATAAGAACGAGCTTACCTGTAAAAGGCGTAATACCTTGGCACTTTTTTTTGTACTGTGGTATTATTTTTGCACCAATTAACAACACACGACGGAATTATTTTAATTTTAGATACGCGAACATAGCGATAAGCCGATCGGCCGCCATTACGGCCGATGGGCATATTTTTGTGTTAGGTTCGTATTTACACGTAGCTGGCTTGTTTTGGGGTGCTTCATTTTTTATGTAGGTGACGCAGAGTCCTTACTTTTTTTACTCGTCCGTGACGAGAGACATGAATAACGTATGAAGAAGCTCAAGGTCGCTTATCGAACTATTAAAAGGGCTATGCTCAGTCTCAGTTCTATTCTCCTTCTATGTCTTAGTTTGATAGACTTCGTAATAAGGATATCCGCAGTAGAGTGGAACTGGGCAACAAAGGTTCTCGAGAGGCAGTCTCGTACAGGTAGGCGAAGTGTGGGGCGGGCCCCAACTAGATAGAGTGGCGCCCTGGTAAGAGATCCAGGAAGTCAATGGATGCAGGGCGAGGCCTATGTTCAGCAATGGACTTTTAAATGGTTGCAATGATGCTGATGATGAATTTTTTAAAGTTATTTAGGTACTTATTAGCATGTACTTAAATAAAATTATACAACAGTTGAAAAAACGCAAAGTCAAAGCAAATATAGATTCGCTGGAAATAATCTCTTTTAGCGAAAAGGTCGCCCATTGTGCTACCTTCTAACTTTTTGTATTTAATTTACTTTCTTAAGCTCACATGGTCAGTTTAACTGATCAGTCAAAGCGGATTAAAGTCATAACGATTTCTCCCACTCACTGGCTTCAAATTTCAACTTAAGATTTCACACTAACGTTCAGTTTTCGTATATACGTCAGCTCAACTGATTTCTTTGTTTGACCGTCGGCCCGGAAAAATTCGTGGGTTGCCGTCGGTGAAAAATTTCAACTTAAGATCTCACACTCACGGTAATTTTTTGGATGTACGTCAGTTCAACTGATCAGTTAACTGACCGTGGTGTGTCGTGCTTTATTTTGTGTGTTAGTGTGTGCAAAAAAGTATTATCTATCTTTCTATGGAATAGAGTTGCCTCTTATGACACCCTTATTGGTAAGTGGATTCTTTTACGCTGCTATTACATGCCAATAAATAATATCTATGCGAATATTATGAAGAGAGTGCAAATTTTGTGAGTTTGTATATATGTGGTGGTTAATTCTTTCACCATTTGGAAGGTTTTTAATGGCTAGAAGATATGATGACGTTTGTCAACTAAGTCGGAAAACGTCGTGCCTCTTGAGAACTTCCACTATGACTGAATTGTTTTTACTTAAAAAGTTCTAAAAAAAGCCCGGAACAGAATATATGTCTTTCTTATAAGAATAACTCGTAATCATTTTTATATAAAAATTCTTAACAAAAATAATTATGGAGGCGGTCGGTGGGATGTTGCCATGCCATGTTGGTCTCTCTATGTCATAAAATACGGAGAATTAATTTAACAAGAAAACTATGGTATACCATGAAGTTTTAAGATAACTTATATCTACCTAATATATGATGTGCATAATATATCTATTTGAAATTTTATTTATTTTTCTCATCACAAACAGGTACAGAATTATTGATGACAAACATGTTAAACTATAAACGTATTGATCCCTAGTTTGTTAGAGACTGGTGCCTAATAAAGGTATTAAACAATACCTGTTCTATAGGTCACAAGGTCCCTCCTCACGGATTGTACATCTTAAATTACAAGTTTTTATAGTATATTGAAGCAATCATTATTTCCATTTCATTAGTTATGAGAAAATCGTCATTTAGTAAATTGAAGGATAATATAAGAAAGCCAATTTATTAAATGATACAGATACACGTTTTAGATTAAAGTACTTATATAATATTATAATTATATATAATGTGCGTGATATTATAGTTGAGGATTTAAGAAACTTTCAGTGGATTCGTATGTTAAAGATTTGTCCCAGTTCCTTGTGATTTTTCTACATACGTGTCCAGGAAGAGGATATATAGATAACAGCCTAATTATTTTGTTGTATATATAATTACTGAGTACATGTAATTACTGACCTATATTATGTAGATTATATATTAGGTAGATATTTATTATTTATGATAAATATTTTTTTTTATAGAAGAACGAACATGCGGCTCACCTGATGTTAAGTGACTACCGCCGCCCATGATCAACCGCAACACCAGGAGAATTGCAGGTGCGTTGCAGGCCCTTTAGAAAGGAGTAAGCTCTTTTCTTGAGGGTTGTATCGGTCCGGAAAAATCGCCGGTTGTAAACTATTCCACAGACAGGTTGTACGCGGAAGAAAACTCCTTTTGAAAAGTACAGTGGTGGACCGTCGAGCATCCAGATGGTGTGGATGGTATTGGGACGTTTGCCGCGTAGTGCGTTCACGAAATTTGGCGGCTGGGATTAATCCGAACAATTCCTCAGAGCACTCCCCATGGTATATGCGAAAGAAAATGCAAAGAGATGCAACATCTCTTCGCAGCGCCAGTGAATCGAGCAGATCGGAAAGCACTCGGTCGTCGACGATTCGAGCCGCTCTGCGCTGGATGCGGTCAAGTGGAAGGAGCTGGTACTGGGGAGCCCCAGCTCAGAGATGGGAACAGTATTACATGTGCGGCCGAACCTGCGCCTTGTAAAGTTGCAGGCGGGTGCTGCTCTGCTGAGCACACCAGGCTTTTTAGAGACCAATTTGGCCTTCTCTTCCAAGTGACCACGAAACTGCATGTCACTCGATATGTCGACGCCGAGGATTCCGATACTGGCTGAGGCAACAAGGGGAGTACCTTGAAACTGAGGAGATACGACAAAGGGGTTCTTTTTAGCGGTTAACACGCAAACTTGTGTCTTCAGGGGGTTAAACTTGACTAGATTTAGTCGCCCCCAATCCGAGACTCTGTTCAGCAAAGACTCGATTTCAGACCCAAGTTTGTCCCGGTACTCGGAGACGTTTCTCAGAGAAATATTGGCTCGGCCGGCTTGCACCGTCTACAAAGACCTTGATGCTCCGATCGGCAAGAAAGCTGGTGATCCAAACGCACAAATTCTCGGGAAGCCCATAGGAAGGGAGCTTCGAAAGAAGCGCTTTGTGCCAAACCCGATCGAAGGCCTTCGCTATGTCCAAACTAACGGCCAATGCCTCCCCTGGATTCTGCCTGGCCCATCTATGAGTTAGCTAGACCAGAAGATCACCAGCAGATCAACCACGGCGAAAACCGAATCACCGCGATCACTAATCAGCTGGTGATCATCAAGGTACCTCATGAGCTGGCAGTTTACAATGGACTCAGATCAGATCAGTCAGATCGGGACGTTGCAATGGTTTTTAAGAAATATTTTAGTGATATTTCGATCTTAACCACTAAGTCACTGAATTCTTCTCCTGCCGTCGCCGAATCATTACTTAAACAAAATGTAAATGTGTGTACAAAGAATTTTACATTTCATAAAGTGTCATCAAAAGATATTGTAAAATATTTTAAGACTATTGATATTAAGAGAACCGCCGATCTGTGGGGTATTTCTGTTAAAGTTATTGCGTCTATAATAGATGCGATCGCACCTCAACTATCTATTATTTTTAATACTAGTATTGAATCTGGTGTATTTCCTGATTTAAGGATGCATAGTAAAGTAATACCTTTATTTAAATCTGGTAGTACATTGGACCCCGCTAATTTTAGACCTATTTCTGTGCTGCCAACACTTAGTAAAATATTTGAAAAAATTATTCTTGATCAAATGTTAAATTTTTTTAATGTAAATAATTTACTTCATAAAAATCAATTTGGTTTTCTCTTTTCTTGAAGGTCCCCAGGTCGTATCGGTCCGGAATAATTGCCGGTGGTAAACTATTCCACAGAGAGGTTGTACGTGGAAGAAAACTTGTGAAACGTACAGTGGTGGACCGCCATGCATCCAGATGGTGTGGGTGGTATCGGGACGTTTGCCGTGGAGTGCGTTCTCGAAATTTGGCGGCTGGGATTAATCCGAACAACTCCTCAGAGCACTCCCCGTGATAGATGCGATAAAATACGCAAAGAGATACAACATCTCTTCGCAGCGCCAGTGAATCGAGTCGATCGGAAAGTACTCGGTCGTCGACGATTCGAGCCGCTCTGCGCTGGATGCGGTCAAGTGGAAGGAGCTGGTACTGGGGAGCCCCAGCCCAGAGATGGGAACAGTATTCCATGTGCGGCCGAACCTGCGCCTTGTAAAGTTGCAGGCGGTGTGCCGGCATGAAATACTGTCCCGCTCTGCTGAGCACGCCAGGCTTTTTAGAGGCCAATTTGGCCTTCCCTTCCGAGTGACCACGAAACTGCACGTCACTCGATATGTCGACGCCGAGGATTCCGATACTGGCTGAGGCAACAAGGGGAGTGCCTTGAAACTGAGGGGATACGACAAAGGGGTTCTCTTTAGCGGTTAACGCGCAAACTTGTGTCTTCTGGGGGTTAAACTGGACTAGATTTAGTCGTCCCCAATCCGAGACTCTGTTCAGCAAAGACTCGACTTCAGACACAAGTTTGTCCCGGCACTCGGAGACGTTTTCCCGAGAAATATTGGCTCGGCCGGTGTAAAGAGCATCACCAGTGCTGTCATCTGCATAGCAATGAATGTTACGGGTATGCAACATATCATTGATATGCAGAAGAAACAGCGTTGGCGATAGCACGCAGCCCTGTGGAACACCAGCATTAATAGGCTTGCAATCGGAGCTTGCACCGTCTACAACGACCTTGATGCTCTGATCTGCAAGGAAGCTGGTGATCCAATCGCACAATTTCTCAGGAAGCCCATAGGAAGGGAGCTTCGAAAGAAGCGCTTTGTGCCAAACCCGATCGAAGGCCTTCGCAATGTCCAAACTAACGGCCAATGCCTCCCCCTTGAACTCTACTGCCTCCGCCCATCTGTGAGTTAGGTAGACCAGAAGATCACCAGCTGACCGACCACGGCGAAAACCGTATTGGCGGTCACTAATCAGCTGGTGATCTTCAAGGTACCTCATGAGCTGGCAGTTTACAATGGACTCCATTGTTTTGGAGAACAAGGAGGTGATGGCGATTGGCCGGTAGTTGGACGGGTCAGAGCGGTCGCCTTTTTTAGGGATCGGGTGGACGTAAGCCGGCTTCCATGATTTTGGGACTACGCCTATGGAGTAAGAGTACCGGAAAAGACGCGTTAAGACCGGTGCCAACTCCGGAGCACACGTCCTCAGCACAATTGGGGGGATTCCATCAGCCCCACTCGACTTGTGGATGTCCAGGGAGAGGAGTGCTTTGCGAACCGAGCGCTGTATGAAATGCACTTCTGGCATGGAGCACTCACACCGCGGGATGGTCAACGGCGTACTTCACCCGTCATCGAGAGTCGAGTTGGACGCAAAGAAAGAGCCTAGCAGATCGGCTTTCTCCTTTCCGGTATGGGCCAGTGAGTCGTCCTCCCTGTGCAGAGATGGAAGAGATGGCTGACAGAAATTTCCCTGGACAGTCTTGGCGACAGACCAGAATGCACGGGTTCCAGAAGAAAGGCGAACTAGTTTCTCGCCAATTCTGCCTATGTGCTCTGACTTTGTCTTCGCAATGACTCTTTTGAAGGACCTAGAGGCAGAATTATACTTCTTTTTTAGAGCGCTGGTGTTTACATCCCGGGACGTTGATGCGTCAGCCCAGGCTTGGTAGCACTCCTGCTTATAGCATGATGCTATTTTACAGAGGCGACCAAACCATGGCTGAGATTTACCTTCAATGGGCACCACAGAGGAAGGAATAAAAAGTTCCATACCCTGAAGTACCACATCAGCGACAGAATCCGCAACAACGTTGGGATCGTCCGGCGAGAAGCAAACCCGCCCCGAAGGGTAGGATGCAAAGAAAGACCGCATCCCATCCCAATCGGCTGACCTATAGTGCCAACACGGCGGCAACCTGCAGAATGCAATTGCGATTTCAGCGTGAGTGGCACCACACTCCGGACAAGACAATGGTCCGAGGAGCCTAAGGGGGCGTCGATGGAAATCTGATATCCGTCCGGGTGAGAGGTAAGCAGAAGGTCCAACAGGGAAGCTGCATGATCCTCCACATCTGGAATCCTCGTAGGCGAGGTAACCAGTTGTGTCAGACCATATGCCAAGGCAAAATCATGAACAGATCTCCCCGCATGATCGGTTAAACTCGAACCAAGCCATTCGGCGTGATGGGCGTTAAAGTCGCCGAGGATCACGATCTCTGCGGAGGGGATCTGCTGTAGCAACGAATCTGTAGCCATTTGGACGTGGTCGAAGAGTCGGTCAGTTTCGGCATTACCGCTATGGGACCTATAGAGGCACCCGTAGATGCGCGGATGGTCGTCGCTGTCTACGCGTAACCAAAGGATGGACAGGTCCGAACCTTCAAGACTGCCGAGGCGTCGAGAACAGATGTCCTCTCTGACGTAAACGCAAACTCCAGCCCGAGGCACAAAGGAGTGTTCCAGTTTGTACTCCGGGTAGAGAGAGAGAGAGGTCTCGAGATGGTAGTGGACGGCGTTAATGTTAGAGTGAAGTCCCTGGTATTGCAGAAATTCACGGATAGCGTGGCAGGGATTGCCTTAGTCTTGTTGCTCCGTTTGCCCCGAGCGGTTGTAGTCTTGAGCGGAATTTTGGCCCCCCCCCCCCCGAATACGAGGGGCAGCCTGAGCACCCACGCTCGCGAGTGGAGAAACATGGTCTTGGATGCTCAGAGAGGGATTCTTCAGGGATGCTGGTACCCTCCTGGGGTAGTCTATCATCATTTAATTCCGCTACCATGTTGAAGGGGGGGGGTTGGGGCCTCCGGCCACGTGTACTCACCAGACGAAACGCGGAAGCTGAGCTTCCACTTCACGCCGGTATTCTGTGAGGTCGTTGTACCACCCCGGTTTGAGCCGGCCTATACGTACAACAGCAAAGCTGCCGCGTGGCTCTACCACTGTTAAATATTACATAACCGGTTTTTTTTTAATAAAGTTCACATGTCACTGTTATTTCGCATTATGGCACTGTAACAGTTAAAACTCCTAACCGGTCAAAAACAGTTTGACGGATTTTTGCAGTCAAAATTGGTTTTGACCGACATTCTCAGATAAGTGGTTTTGACCAACGCTAAGAGCGTCAAAAGTGGTTTTGCCTGATTTAAAGTTCAGACTATCGGTTAAAACTCGCAATATCAGTGCCAATAGGAAAAGGTGAGGCTGGGGTGACACTTGGGCCACCTTAAACTGGTGTACATTATAACGATATAAAACATGTTATTGATAGAGTTGAATTGATTGATTATTGTAGCTAGAGGTGGTTTTGATCAACTTCGTTAGTCAAAATTACTGATTTTTGCAATCAAAAATCGTTTTGACCGTCTATGAGTAAGTAAAGTAAAAAAAAGTAAAGTTACAGCCTATATACGTCCCACTGCTGGGCACAGGCCTCCTCTCATTTCTGAGAGGGTTTTAGGGCAAGGAATAGTCCGCCGCGCTGCCCCAATGCGTGTTGGCGAACTTCACATGTCCTTTTTTTTCCTCGCGATGTTTTCCTTCACCGCCGAGCACCTGGTAAATCAGCACTTAAAATTGCAATTAACAATTTAATTGGTGCCGGCGGGGATCGAACCCGGTTTGCTCGCGTATTGTGAAATTTACGGCGAGCGCTAACCATCTAAGCTACCACGGCTCCCGGCTATGAGTAAAATAACTTATTACTAGTTTACTTTCAGCACAAGCACTTCGAAAATTATTCGAGGCCATTATCGTTCAGCAACGTCTCGCACCCCGCCGACGCCGTGCTCTCCAGGTGCAATGCTCTCTTGATGATGTTTTCTACATTACAGGTAAGGTGTCCGAAAGTATTTTTTTTTTTTGTAGAATTAGGGTGACAAACGGGCACACAGTTTACCCGATGCTAAGTAGATGCTGTGGCCCATAGACATGCATACAAATATGCATACATAGATACATACACATGAAACTAATAAAAGCGTATATTGATAATGGTAGAGAGCTAGTGAAACTTAAAAATTATGTAAGTATTAAAAGTTTTTAATTTAGCACTTTTTTCATTATCCGTCATATTCTTACACCGTCAACCATTTTTCTGACTGTTCAAAATTTCAAGTCATAACAGACATTATCATTAGACACGTGGTAGAGCCACACTACAGCTACATTGAATGGTCTTCGCCAGGGAAGTACCACTCTCTCACAGAACACCAGCTTGAAACAGCTTAATACTGCTGTGTTTCGCATGGTGAGTGAGTGACAACCGGAAACTGTTTTACTGGACATGAAGCATTAAATCTTACTCCTCAGGGGTAACAAATAATATATATATATATATTTGTATATACAGAATGGGTCCCACATATATGCAATAAATGAAACCACAAGTATATGTATGAATACTAGTCCGTAGAAGTGTAGAAAAATTAAATATTAAATTAAAATCCGTAAAATAAAAAAGTGAAATTTTCAAACAAAATAAATATTAAAATAAATTCAGTAAAAGTGAACTCTCTGTTTAGACAACGTACCTTGACTTAAATTTAACTTAAAATTAAAACTCTACTTTTTGACCTAATTACTGGACCGATTACGTTCATTTTTTGTATATCATCAGCAAAGGCGATAACAAGTATATGGTTTCTTTTATTGCATATATGTGGGACCCATTCTGTATATATATATACAATATGTAACGTAATTAACGCACACCCTCAGACACCCCAATTAGTATATTATGTTATAATCATAATACATACACTGAATTTTTAGTTAAACATTTTTATGCACTGATTATTAATCAAATTAGTTATACTAATTCCGGAAGAATGTTGTGGTCACAGTACAAATCCACGAACGCAAAGACTTTAACGTGCTTGAAATAAAGTTCATTTTTCTTTATTTTTATTGAATGACAGAACTGGTAATAATACAAATAAAACTGCACTCTTAAAAGTCTTATTGCCTTAAGTTACGGTCCATTTCAGTTTGTTTTGACTGTACAGATTTAGTGTGACAGTAATTTACGTAGTTTTAATTATTTTTGGGATAAAAAATTACCTATATTAAAAATGATAAGAATCGATTCAGTAAACGATTCTGAACAAACTACTTTCTCAAAGTGCATTAATTATGTTACGTGTTGTATATACCTCAACATCAGTAAAGAAGCGGAATGTTTCGGCCTCAAGATCAATACCGAAAAAACAAAATATCTCGCTACGACTCGGAAACATGTGCCGCTACGAAACATCTCTATGATGAGGAACAACATTTTCGAAGGGGTTGAAACTTAAATACTTAGGGTCTACATTAACTTCCCAAAACAGTACTGAGATTGAGATCAGAGCAAGCTCCTTTAACTCTGTCTTATTAACTCCAAAATACTGAGCAGAAAATCCAAACTCACCATCTACCGGACGATCATAAGACCTGTTGTGACTTACGTATTCGAAACCTGAAAACTTACACAGAGGGACGAAGTGAGACTGGCGGTATTTGAAGGGAAAGTGCTCAGAAACATATTTGGACCAGTCCGAGAATCTGATGGCACGTATCGTCAGCGCATGAATCATGAGCTTGATGCTTCTATAGGACGTGAGACTATCGTCAGGTTCTGTAAGTCACAGCGGCTGACGTGGGCGGGGCACCTGGAACAAATACCGGATCCTAGGGCCGTGAAAATCATGACCAAGTGGACTAACAAAAGAGACCAAAAGGCAGGCCAAAAACACGTTGGGTAGTAAATGTGGAAGAGGATCTGAGAAAAATGGGTAAATACACCAACTGGCGCAGGGAGTCTGGTGGAAACTGGCGGAGGATATATATATATATATATATATATATATATATATATATATATATATATATATATATATATATAAACAATTTACTATATTAACATGCTTAGCGTTTCGTATCTATGGCTGCAGTAACATATCGGCTTCAAAATCAGACGTCGGACAAACGGCTTTTATTTTCCGAGGCGTTTTGGATTAAATACTGCCAACTTCCAAGGGATGGGCAAGTGAAAAAATATATCATATCGATACTTATAAAAAGTATCGACATACATATATCGCGTAGTAAATATCGATAAGGTCCAAAATTTCATTACTAGACGGTTAGACGACGAAAAAAAAAACGACAACACATGCTTCTGTAGCTGCTTTTGTTGCTTAATGTTTTGTCGATTAATACAACATTTTAAAATGTATTGAAATAGATACGAATTCGATACTCTAACAGAAATATTGCTTTAAAATATCGACGATATATATCGATATCTTGTTGAGAAAATACCGATATTTTTTACCCAAGCCTACAGCTTCCTGACACCGGACTGTTACCTACGGATAATTTCTTGACAAAAAACCCATTAACTGATTTTGGCTCGACCCGGGATTCGAACGTTGGAAGACATGATCCCTTACGACAACTAGACCAAGGAAGCAGACAGAGGGGTAGTCAACGCATCGTGTGGATATTATAGTATGTGTGTTTACGGATATAGTTTAATATACTTACTATCGTCTAGTAATGGGTAATAACGGCTAATGACAGTCTTTCGACATACTACTTGTTCATTAAAATAAAGCCGTTACATCCCGCCGCGCTCCCTCACTCCGCGCCTCGAGTGTCCCCCTAGTAGTACCAGTAGTTCAAATTTATTTATTGCTAGAATGTAGTACATAGTAATATGGTGTTATTAGTTATTAACGAGACCTTACATTCTACCATGATAATGGCGTGCAATCCTTTACAGTAAACAAAAAAAAAATATTAATACTAATTACTACTATACTAATATAGTAACTATACTAATTTAGTGAAGTAACTTATAGAAGAAAATGAATTATGTACATATTCAAAAATATTTTAGCGTCAAATTTTTAGACTACAATAAATATTACATGTCAATGTTTTTTTATTAAAATGTAGGTAAATGTTTATATAAATGTCAAATATCTAAAAAGTCAAAAAATTGTTAAAAAAATTATTAAATGCTAATATCTAAAAGATCAGTTTTTTTCATATTTCACCATTATTAAAATAGGAGATGATTTTTATTTTCGGATGAATACATACACAGTAGAACATGTTACTATATTGTCATAAATTGTATAAAACTATTACCAAAATTTACATAAAATGCAATTTACTTATTAAAAAATATATTACGTTTCGGCTTCAATTTTTTTTTATCAATAGCTAATGGCGTAATAGAAGAAAAATGTCAGATAATTATTAATTATTTTTAAATAGAATAAAATCTCAATGATCAGTGCAATTACAGTAGTTCACTCATTAAATTTACAATCTAGAAATTCTTTGACGCTATAAAAGGTACTTTCTGCAAGAAAATCATTGAGGCTTTTTTTAAATCTTGGTAAAGAAAGTGCTTTAATATGCTGAGGAATTTTGTTATATATTTTGGCACATATATATAGACAGCTTTTATTATACTTGGATAGTCTAGGAAGTGTGTCGATTACAAGTTTTTCGGGGTATCTATGGCTTCAAGAAGATATAACTTTTGCTTTAGTAAACAGATCAGTAGGTAGTGTTGTTTAACGAACAAACAAATTTCATATATGTAGAGCGAGGGCAATGTCAATAACTTAAGGTTTTTAATAAAGGTTTACATGAATCAAATGGTGCTTTAAGAGTTAATGCTCGTAGATATTTTTTTTGAGTGATAAAGGCTTTATTTAATTGAGAACCATTTCCCCAGATAATTAACATGTAACGCAGAATTGAAACCACATAAGCATGATAAACCGAGAGGGCTATATTTGTTAGTGACTTTTCTAATATACCTTAAAGCATATACAAATTTATTTAGTCTATAGCACACTGACTTAATATGAGCCTCCCAATTAAGGTTGCTATCATTTACTAAGCCAAGAAATTTAGTTTGCGTCATTTTTTCAATTTTTGTTCCGTTGTAACATATGTCAAGCTTATTCGTTTTCAACTTATCAAATTTAATATAATGAGTTTTGGTAAGATTAACTTTTAAATTATTTAGATTTAACCATTCTATTACTTTATTTGATTGTGTCATTTATGTCAGATTCATGTTTTGTAAATGAATGTTTCCTTGAGTTACTTACAATTGTTATTAATATCTTCGGCAAACATAGTACATTTAAATGTAGTTATATTTGGAATGCCATTTATATATAAAATAAAAAGCAAAGGCCCCAAGAATGCTTCCTTGTGGGACGCCAAAGTTGTTGTTCCTAAAATCTGAATAATAAGAAGTCAGTTCATTTTGGTTATTGAGATTTTTATTTCAACTTTTTGTTTCCTGTTTGTCAAATAAGATTCGAGCCACTGCAAAGGAATTCTTCGAATGCCCGTATTTCCCAGTTTTTTAAGGAGATTTTTATGGTCTACAAAATCGAAAGCCTTAGATCATACTTAGATCAAAAACAATACAGTGGTTAGATATGAATTATTTACACTTTTTAAGATGGATTTAATTAATGTAAACGTGGCTAAAGAAGTAGATTTATTTTTCTGAAAACCAAATTGTTGTGGACTGATGACACTAATCTTATTACAATATTCAGAAAGGCGCAAAAACATGCACTTTTCGAATATTTTTGAAAAAATTGATATTAATGCAATAGGTCTGTAATTATTAACATCATCTTTTCAAATTTCTTAAACAAAGGTTTAATTATTGATACTTTAAGCTTTTCTGGGAAAGTACCTGTTGAAAAGGATAGATTTATAAGATGTGTAAGTATTTTTATAAAATTATCGATGGAAGTTTTAATAATATTGGTACATATTCCGTCATAGCCAGTTGTTTTTGAGTTATTAAGAGATATGACTGCATTTCTGACTTCTTTTTTGACATTTCTCTTAGAAACATTGACTTGAGCTCTGTAGAATTAGTTTTGAGTTTATTATTATTAGTTATATTATTACTGATGTTATTGTTTTGTCATGTTAATAAAAAAGTTGTTGAGGTTATTTGCTATATCAGTTGGGTCAGTTAAAATAGTATTGTTATATTTTATATTAATAATGTCAATATTTTTTGAATTATTACCTATTTCATTATTTACAATTGTCCACGAAGTTTTGCACTTATTTATGCTCGTGTTGATCAAATTACGTATTTGAAATATTTTAAATGTAAAATAAAACCATAAAATATTATATTCAATGTTACTGTTATTATTTCACTTTACTAAATAAATTATTTTATAATATGCATTTTATGTACTTGTTTGCTCTCAATTTCTGTATACGGGGCAACAAACTACTTACTTAGTTTTGTTAAATTTGACAAAAAGTAGTCATCATGTTTATGTGATATTATAGATAAACATGATAACTTTTTTATCTACGGTACCGTCAGCTGTATCTTAACGGTCGACGACGGCAAACTTGAAATAAAAGCGTAGCATTTAAGCTTAACTAATACACTTATAAACAAGTAATAGCATACTATGAAAATAGGCTGATAGGTTTTATTTTATTGGCTCGCGAATTTGAAATAGTCAAAAAATAACATCTGTATGAAAGAAAAATAGGTTAAATCAACTTAAGATAGCATAAGAATTATGTATAAATTATTGCTATAATATCAGTTGAGATGAACACAAATGAGAGCACCATTGAGTGTGGACCACGCCCTTATTCTTGTGGGAAGTGTCAGACTGTTTGTAGTTAGCTAAAACGTCCCGCGAGAGTCTAGAGACGCTGTTATCGAGAATTCTCGTCGAAAATTTCTTGTGATTGTCGTAGCCACCCTATACATTGATTCATGCTTAATAATTTAAATTTATTATTGTTATTGTATAATAAGCTGTTTGACGTGCACTACTTCTTCGCGTATGACTTAAAAATTGCAGTTTTTATTAAAGTCAATGCTCATAAAACTGTAATTTTATTGTTTTATCAGTTTTTCGATTCTACCAAAAATAATTCATATATTTTCGTACTTACGTACTAGAACAGCTATTTCAAACAAAAAATGTGCGCTACTCTGTGTTCGCGCGGTTGGTTTTTTATCATAGAATAGACATAGGTAGAATGACCCGTGTAGGTAATAGTAGATTGTATTGTTAAATAGGTAAATTATATCGAGAACAATATTTAAATTTTGTCATTTATTTTGTATATTATATTTGATTATTTAATATAATATTACATAATATTATATCACAATTACATTTTACTGATATTTTTATCTGAATATTTTAAAAGGTTTCTATGTCAAATAAAAAAAAACATACTAAATGTATGTTTAACAAAACTTAATAACATTTAAATTAGAAATATATTTATTTAAATTAGAATAAGAGTCGTTCATAAATGCTGGGTACGCGAGAGTTAAAAATGGACGAATTTATTCCACTTTGACTTTGATATGGAAACCTAAAAATAAAATAAAATTATATAATAAGCAGATTTAAATATACATAATTTTGCCAAATTATAATAACTTACATATGTTTCTACAAAAAAATGTGTATAATAATATATTCGTCCTGTACTTAAGTACCCACAGAAATTTCGCATCTGAACATATTAATTTTATAATCTATATTCCATGACACGAGTTGGCATCTTATGAATAATTTGTTTTATTATTAATCTATAATACTTTTTTTATTGATTAAGTATCTTATTAACCGATGAAAAATAATTCCTTGGTTTTTACTGATATTTTTGAATTATTTGTGAAATATCTAAGTACACACGACGATATATTTTTATCAAGAGTTTTTTTTTTAAATCAACACAACACGTGACAACTCTACAAACGCCTAGCGAGTGACTGATCAAAGTGCGGTGTATGCACCGCAGTTGAGTGGAACAGAGTAGCTGAATGCAGTGTCGCCTCTAGTGCGTAGTACATAATAGCTCAATGTATATGGAATATAGCTTAGATCACCTTTGTAATTGTTCAACTTGTTTGTGAAGTTTTATCATGGACAATTTTTAATTTTTTGAACTAAAAAAAAAAAACAGTTTAAAAGTGGCTATTTCTTTTAATAGTATGCAAATAGCTCCCTGAGCTAACAGACTGACATTATAATTTTATTTGTATGTATAAAATTATCGGATACAAAATCAAGTTACTTATATATATAGCTTATGAGGTTACTTATTTAAGCGTGTTTCTTACAGCACATATCAGTCGATTACGACCACATAAGCACGGAAGCCTTGGAAACGCTATCCCATCTCACTTTGTTCAAGAATCTCACACTCAATATCGCGCGAAGAAGGAAGTTGGTCTTGAAGCCTATCAATTGGCATCTATTAGACGTCTTCTATCCGAACGGACTCGACGTCTCCGTTAACATTGTAAGTTTAATTCCTTAGTAGTTAAGGTGCTTTTTGTTTTAACACACAAAAATTTATATTGAATGGGGACTATCATATTGGGATGCTGGTGCCAAATTAAAACATATATAATTGTCCTTGTAGCCCTAAATTTTTTGTGCACAATAAATTACTTAAACCAAAAGTGGGCCCACTTCACATTTTTAGAAATATGTTTTTATATAAAGTACACACATTTATGAAAATTATTTAAAGTTTAAATTTATTGCTATTCTCGAGTGGTTAGGCAATAAACCAATGTATAGTTGCCGGCACGAGTCGTGAGTAAAGATGAACTATGGTGGGGGTTGAGCCAGCGTAGGTACAATGTCGGCCAAAATTATTTGGTACCTTTGTTATTTCAATTCGTAATTGAATAATTTTGCTGACTTTTTTTCGAAATTCTGAGTCTATAACTCCTTTAACTATACGCCGTAAAGTAGCTACGTAGACATTAGTCGTTTCAGCGGTCTGTTTATAAACGTCTATCGTGTTTTTCGCAATACCTAATTTTTTCATGTAACAAAACACTGAATAGACCATTTGTCGGAATTGTCTATTTAACGCCGAATTCTTTCTTCTCTGCATATTTATACCAAAATCTGAATGCTCAAATTATAACAAAAAAAAATCAACAACAGCTAAAAACAAGAAACACACAAACAACAATTAACAACGAGGTAATACTACAATTAAAAAAAATAAACTGATTAAAAGTGGTCGCATGATAGGTGCGAACCCAATAGACGACGAGAATCGTCTGACGAACCAATCACATTGAGGGTTTGCGTAGTGAACGCCATATCGACCAATAAAAATTGTGCTCACGACTCGTGCCGGCAATTATACTTGTATGCACAGTTACGTGTCATATGACAAGTGTATAACTGTAAAGGGCTTATTGTCCTTCCTTTGATAATCTTTTTTAAGCTTAGTTGAAATGATTAATAGCATTACTATTTTAAGTTTTATTGGCATCATTTTACTATTATAGTCTTTTAACAATAAAATAAAAGAGATCTTTCCATTAGTTCATTATAAGGGGTTTACATAGAGTATTCTCATCCGGTTGGGCTGAATAAATATATAAAAACGGTAAATATGCATAAATATACATACATCCATACATAAAAACTCACGCCGGTCACCCAGAGGGGTAGGTGGAGACTACGGACTTCCATTTGGTACGGTCCTGACACACCTCTCTCGCCTCCTCCACATCCATATACCTACGCATACATGCTCGTAGGTTGACTCCCCCGTTTACTCTTAATAAATATATAATAAAGTATATCAACATAAATAAATAAAAGCCCTACCTGTTGGAAGCCCTCGGCAGGGTAGACCAAATGGGAACGGAGGAAAGAAACCGAGAATCTCTTTTGAGAGAGTCAGACACCACACATACGGGCTGGAGCCAAGTGTGTAAGGGAAAAATTAAATTGTAAAAGTGGATCATAGAGTAGAAGAAGTCAGAAACTTTCGGGTGATGCGACAAGTGTTGAGGATGGTGGCTATTTGGAGCATGTGAAGTGTGGCTTTGTAAGAAATATCGGGACATATATAGTGAACATTTTGTGCTTTTCATTGAGTTTTAATTTCTATGGCAAATTATTGATATTTACTTAGTTTTTTGGGTATTGTGGTTTCTATTTATTATTGTTGCAACCATTCACAAATGCACTGCTGAGCATAAAGAGTGAATGAACAGAGCGCGGACCTGAGCCATATAATTTTATAACTATAGTGTATTTTTTCTTTCAGATTGGTTTACCACCTCAAAAGTTAAAAGATGTTATGGATAAAGTTTTAGTCGAGGGATTGACGCTGGTTTCGTTGAAAGTTATGTTTTGCGAAACGGTAAGTATTTTAGAGTACTTCAAAAGGAAGAGTTTATTTTTTTGTATGTTTACGCGATATCTCAGTAAACTGCTTATTATTATTCGTTGCATTTGATAAGTTATTCCTTTTAAAAAGAATTTAATCATTTTGTTTTGCAGTAGGTCATAAGAGCTATTTACAAACTAAAATCGAGAGTCTCTCAGAGAATAATTTTACGTGGTAGAGTCACGCTGCAGCTATATTATAGTTGTATCACGACTGGGTCGGCTCAACCGGGGCAAGACCACGCTCTAACAGAATACCAGCGTAAAATAGCAGCGTAATGCTACTGTGTTTCGTATGGTGAGCGTAGAGAATCGGAGACCATTTTTACTTAGTCCTCACGGATGACAATGCATCTGCATTTAGATCCTGAGATGGATGTAGATGTCTATGGGCCGCAGCAACCACTTACAATCAGGTGGAGTGTGAGCTCGTTCGTCAGCCTTACCTTAAAAAAAAATTAGACGATGTCTAACCGAAACAAAACACGCAGCGTGTTATGTACATGCTCCATGTTTTTTCCTTCCATTCGGTTCCTTAAGGTGACATCTCGAAAATTTTGTGGTTTTTCTATTAAACATATTTTTTTAAGTTTTATAGATTACAAACCAAAATTTTGGTATACGATTTTTGACTACATGACCTTGGATTGCATAAAAGGAAAACACTATATCATGAAATTTTCCCGATAGAAAAAATTGCTAAGTAGGCTCTAATTATTTACATTTTTCCATGACACCACAATATTTTTACGATTAAGTTCATGGAATTATTTTTAAGGCATAGTAAATAATCATATCTAAGTTTTCATAAACCAGTTTTTTAATACATAACGAAGTTTTGTTAAAATAAATAAAAATGTTGTTTGGCGCTTACGTAGTTATTTTCCGAGCGCATGCTCGGTATGGCTATCTCATAATTTGAGTACTATGAAGTCATTGCATCACTTTCATTTTGACACTCCCTCAGTCGTCCATTAGCTTCGCCGACAAAGGAATAAGCCACGCCCCCAAAACTTCGGTTCATTTTCAAGGTATCCTCTTAACCGTACATCCTTGTTACAGTTCTACGCACCACTACTGAGGCACTTATTGAACCTTTATACGACAACACTGCGCGAACTAGTATGGGTCGACTGTCCCGACGATTCGCCGGACACCCTCAATAGAAATATCAAAACCAGCCAGGAGGAAGAGGTGACTAATTTTATTGTAATAGCGTTATTCGTTTTTAAGTTTATATAATTTCCTGTAGTAGTTAATTAATAACTAGTTGTGCCCCGCGGTTTCACCTGGAAAATCGGCAACATTTTATCTATTTTTTTCCCCTCCGGAAAGCGGGGAAGGCAGGCAGTGAATGCTCATAGCATACCACGCACCCGGCTGCGTGGTTATGTGGAGACTTTTACCCACTAAACTCTGATCTGATCTGACTAGATATCTTTAAGCCGTAAACTGACGCGACCCTCCTTGGCAGAAACGAGGGCGCAAGCGGTGAAAAGCCGCTTAGAAGTGTTCCTAAAGACCGATTTACACTTCGACAAGTACAATAGCGAGTTAACTTGCGAACCCGGCGAGTTAAGTTTGAACCTCGTTTGAACGGCAATAAGCGAGTTAAGTAGCAAGTTAACGATTAAGTTGAACGGGATAGCCAGCCGAGCTATTTTTCGGCGAGTTAATTGCGAAGTGCTGGCCTCTCGCGCGTCTTCCGTCACCCGCAACTAAACTCGCCGTTCGTGTAAACGAGCGAGTTTAGTTTAGTGCATAAGTTGTACGTTTTGGCGCGCAACGTACAGTTGTAATTTTATAATGAAACTCGCCAGAAAGTTTGTACGATACTGTTTATTGAATATTTATACGTTTTATACTGAGTTTTAGTAACAAAGTGGACGGAAGATATCATGTATTAATTTGTACAGGAGTATCTAAAACACGAATGTTTATATAATAGTAGAATTTCAAATTGTAAAATTAAACCTGCTCGAGATGCTGCACTTCTAAAAATTCTTAAAAACTTCTTTAACAACAACCAATAATACTTCTCTGACTGGATCATTTAATTCTTGACGTAATCCTAGAACCATCCAGAAAAATTCTGTAGTCTTGAAAGGTCATACTCCAATGAACTCTATGAACTAATGTCCTTAACTAAACTCGCCACGAAGACATTGTTTGAACGCTACTGCCCACTTAACCGTTTACTGTCAACTGTCCTGTAACTAAACTCGCTACTGTACTTGTCGAAGTGTAAATCGGTCTTAACTAAGGCAGATGAAGGGATGTGTTAAGTAGGCTCGGCCTGAGCCGCCAGTAGCAGTAGTAGTAGTAGCAGTTCAGATCAGCCGAAACTTTGTTGGGGGGGGGGGGGGGTCCGAGAGAGAGTTTCTCGTTCTGCGCACACCATAGCGAGTGTGGATAGGGGCTGCATAGGCAGCTGTCTCACGAATGAGATGTTTTGGGTGGGACTCTGAGGCTTTGAAAAATCTCTCAGAGAGTGATTTAACGAACTGCTTGATTGTTGGGAGCTCTAAGTCTTGGTGGAGGTCAGTATTACGGACATAATAGGGCTAATTCGTGGCCCCCGAGGAAGAGATTTTGAACTATTTGAAGTTCATTTATTATGTTGGGTTTAGCATGTGCGAAAATGGGGGCCGCGTAGGTCATTACAGGTCGTATACAGACCTTATAAAGGGTTCGCTTGTTTCGGAGGGACATTTCACTGTGTTTGCCCAACATGCTGTTGAGCCTACCCATGTAAAATCGCGAGGTGCGTGTTACTTTCTTGATTATTTTATCTATCGGCAAATGTACCTTATAAAGTTCATCGGGTGCCTAGAGTTTATGCGTCGTACGCGCGTCGATCCGTGTGTTGGATTATTTTAATATTTCATTATCTTTTAAACTATGTGTCCAAATAACATGCTATATAGAGGTAAGATTATTTTATAAAATTGTCTTGAAGATGAAGTAACTATCGTTCGTATGGATTAATGTGCCATGCATAATAATAACACTTATAAATCACATTTTAATTTACAACTTTTTTTCACAAAATACCTTATTCGCGGACTTTGTTTTAGATGTAGTGATGATCTATATTTTTGTAGCACCATGTATTTACGTATCACTATTAGGCCAGCCCACACGGATAAACCATTTCTTTCGTAACAAAAATCAATATTTAAGGCTGGCTGAGAGGTTTTGCCTAACGCTAGAAGGCCTATACTGGCCGGAGGCCGGACTGGTAGTTCTAGAGATTAGCGCGTTAAAACATACAAAAAACATTTCAACTTTATTATATTAGTATAGATAGTACGTTAAACATAAAAATATCAACCAATATGTCTATTTTCATGATGTGTGATCTCGTTTATATATATAAAAAAAAAACATTGTTAGAGGATAAATTTTTAGTTTTTGGTTGTAAAATATTTGGTTGTGAAATTAGAGCATGAAAATAAAAATCCTGCAATGAGGGTGTTTCTCTTTGACTTAATTTTAAAATTAATAATATAGTTACGCCAGATTAAACTTGTAGCTATTTTGAATGAGTTTAGTATTTGTAATCGGTGACTATGTGGCCTTATAAAGTAAATTATATATAATTAATTGAAACAAAAATATCGCGGCACTTTCACCGCATCGCAGTAACACATATTAACAGATTTGCAAACGTTGCGCGAATCAGTCCTATTGAAGTTGACGAACAACTCTGCTCATAACATGCTATATAGATGTGTTATATAGAACAGCTTGCCTAGCGAGAGATCAACTTTTCTGCCGACGGCCAGGCAATTCCCATATTATGTTTCGGTTTTTTTCTGTATATTTATGATTTCATGTCACCACCATAACAGAAATCTACTAAAGTGGTTTTTAAAAGATATTTAGATATTTTAAGAAATATTTTACCTGTACTTAACAGGTAAAATATTTCTTTTATTTCATTGAGTGGGTTTTTTTGTCGTTGAAATGCAGAAATATTGTACATGTCATCATCATCATCATTACAGCCTTTCACAAGTCCACTGCTGAACATAGGCCTCCCCCAAGTAATGCCACAAAGCACGGTCCTGAGCCACCTGCATCCATCGACTTCCTGCATGTCTTACCAGGTCGTCACTCCATCTAGTGGGGGGTCGCCCTACACTACGCCTACCGGTACGAGGCTGCCACTCGAGAACCTTTCTTCCCCATCGGTTATCGGTTCTTCGAGCTATATGGCCGGCCCATTGCCACTTCAGCTTACTAATCCGTTGGGCTATGTCGATCACTCTGGTTTTACTGCGGATATCCTCATTTCTGAGTCTATCACGCAGAGAAACTCCAAGCATAGCCCTCTCCATAGCTCGCTGAGCGACCTTAAGCGTCCTCATTCGGCCAGCAGTGAAGGACCACGTCTCAGATCCGTAAGTCATCACTGGCAACACGCACTGGTTGTACAATCTAGTTTTTAGAGATTGAGGTATACCTGACGAAAAGATATGTCGTAATTTCCCGAACGCTGCCCAGCCGAGTTGAATCCGTCGATTGACCTCTCGGTCGAAGTTGGACTTACCTAGTCGGACTATTTGTCCCAGGTAAACGTACTCGTCAACAACTTCGAGCATAGTGCTCCCAACAACTACCGGCATAGGTGTGACATGGACATTAAACATGATCTTTGTTTTGTCCATGTTCATCTTAAGACCTATCCGTTGGGAGGCACTATTGAGGTCATTGAGCATAATGCTTAAGTCCTCCAGCGATTCTGCCATAATGACTATATCGTCGGCAAATCGAAGGTGAGTGATGTACTCGCCATTGATGTTAATACCGTATCCTTTCCAGTCCAGTAGCTTGAAAACGTCTTCCAACGCAGCGGTGAAGAGTTTCGGGGATATAACATCACGCTGTCTTACATCTCTCTGCAGTTGGATAGGTTTCAAACGCCGGTTCTGTACTCGGATAGCCATCGTAGCCCTACTGTACAAACACTTCAGCACTTCGATGTACCGACAGTCAACTTGGCACCGCTGAAGGGACTGTAGCACCGCCCAAATTTCGACGGAATCAAAGGCTTTCTCATAGTCCACATATGCCAGGCAAAGTGGCAGATTGTACTCTTCGGTCTTCTGTACAATCTGCCGCAGGGTATGTATGTGGTCTATGGTACTGAAGCCTTTTCGGAAACCGGCTTGTTCGGGAGGCTGGAAGTCGTCGAGTCTGCGTGCGAGACGATTCGTAATGACTCTCGAAAATAGCATGTAGACGCGGCTCAGAAGGGAAATCGGTCTGTAGTTCTTCAAGAGAGCGTTGTCGCCTTTCTTAAAGAACAAAACCACCGCGCTTCTGCTCCACGCCTCCGGAGTAGTGCCACCATGGAGGACGGAATTGAAGAGCTTCCGAAGGACTTCAAGTACCGGTTTTCCACCCGCTTTCAGAAGCTCCGCTGTAATTCCATCCTCGCCCGGGGCCTTGCCGTTTTTAAGGTGGTGGAGAGCCATTCTAATCTCGCTCAGACTGACGTCCGGGATATCATCGGAATAGTGTCGGATAAGACTTGCTCTTGGATCGTTACTCACACTTACGTGTGGCTCCAACGATGATGTGTACAGCTGCCCATAGAACCTCTCAATCTCACTCAAAATCTCAGGTGTCCCGGAAACGATGTTGCCACACTCAGTCTTCAGCTTTGACAGTTGGCTCTTTCTGGCAGACAGATCTCTGGCAAAGACTTTGGAGCCCTGGTTCCGCTCGATCGCTTCTTTAATACGAGAAGTATTAAAGTTGCGTAAGTCTCGCCGCATGCATTTGGAGATCTGTCTGTTCAGTTGCCTGTATGCTGTCAAATCTGTTGACGATTGCAGCCTCATCTCCCGTCTAACAGCCATGAGATTAAGAGTGTGATCGGAGAGTTTTTGTGTTCTTCTGCGGCGGGTCTTGCAGAACTTAGCTCCGACCGCATGGACAGTTTCCACGAGCTTGTCGTTCATATCGTCCACTGCATTGCAATCTTCTAGGCACTGGAAGCGGTTACGTAACTCGAGCTGAAAGGTTTCGGGATTCTGGATTAGAGCACGAGGGGGACGGAGCGTTGACTTCATTAGACGAGACCTCTCCAACTTAACGTTTAGGTTCAGTGTGCCTCTAACCATTCGGTGATCGCTGCCAGTTTTCACCCTTGCGATCACTGAGACATCACTGAACAGTTGGCGTCTGGTCGTCATAATGAAGTCAATCTCATTTTTTGTTGAACCGTCGGGGCTCGACCAGGTCCACTTCCTGTGGGGCCGCTTCTGGAAGAAAGAGTTCATCATAAAGAGTCCCTCTTTCTCCATAAAGTCGGCCAGCTGCTGGCCCCTTCGGTTCCGTTGCCCTACTCCAAATTTCCCTACCTTCAGCTCACCGCTTTCTCTTGTGCCTAGTTTTGCGTTGAAGTCTCCCATCAACACCGTGTAGTGGGTTTTGGAGGAATGTATGGCTCTGGAAATATCTTCATACATTTCCTCCACCTCCTCATCGGGATGTGCCGAGGTTGGTGCGTAAACCTGAATGACCTTCAGCGAATACCGTTTGGTGATTCTGAGTATCAGGTACGCGACCCTCGTCGACACACTCCCAATCTTTACAACGTTGTTGACGAGAGACTTGTGGACGATAAATCCGACACCTCCTTGGGACAGATGGTCGCCCTCCCGGTGATAGAACAAGTTGCCGGACTCGAGGATTGCCGTGTCCTCCCCCTCTCTTCGGACCTCGGATAATCCAATAATATGCCAGCGCAACTTGTCTACCTCTTCTTCCAGCTCTAGTATCTTCTCGTCAGTCCTCAGGGTGCGTGCGTTATATGTTGCCAGGTCGAGTCGTCGTAGGTGGCAACCGAACCTCCACCGGAGATTCTTAGCACCCCCCTGCCCCGCCGTTACCATGGTCGCCACCGTAGCCAGGAATAGCGGGGCCGCCGGGGACTGGGGGCCGTCTGTTTGTGTATTTATTCATTGGGGGGTATTTGCCATAGTTGCCACGCTTGGCGAGCGGGTTGGCAACCGCAGTTTTTTATTACGTCACAGTTGTTATCAGGAAGATGCTGCTGCCCATCTCCTGCCTGTCTCCCTCTGTCGCCTTTTACGACACCCACGGGAAGATATGGGGTAGTGGATATTCTCAACCGCCACTACACGGCACTTGTACATGTACATGTCAATTAAATTTAATTAATTTTAATTTAATTTTATCTTTAGAGGAAAGCGAAACACTAGAACAAAATTATACATACCTGATTTATACAATGGCCAATATTCATCAATCTCACTGTCACAACTAGAACTAGAAGAGTAATGATTTGTATAGAATGTAATTTATTTGCATATTTTTAATGTCACACGTAAGTCACAATTATGAAAATTCTATACATGGTAGAACCAGGCTGCAGTTATATTAGTAATATAGTTGTAGCACGAATGGGTCGGCTCGACCGGGAAGGGACCACGCTCTCACAGAATACCAGCGTAAAATAGTAGCTTAATGCTGCTGTGTTTCGTATGGTGAGTGTAGAGAACCGGCGACTCTTTTTACTGGAAACGAGGCGTTCCATCTTGGTCCTCATGGGTGACAACGCATCTGCATTTTTAATCGTTATCGAGGATAGATGTAGATGTCTATGGGGCACAGCAACCATTTACCATCAGGTGGACTTTGTGCTCGTTTATCACTCTATCCTATAAAAAAAAATCAATATGGAAATAAGTGACGCACATCCAAACATTTTCTCAAAATATGACATTTATATTATTATAATTATATGTAGATAAATTATGTGTGTGTGTTTAGTATATTATTTTTAATTTCCAGTACGACGTGTGCAACGTGAACCCCTTCATATTATTATGCTGGCACTGTGTCCAACTTCAGACGCTTGTTATACACGGTATGTACATAGTTTAAAATATTTTACTATGTTTTATTAAAAAAAGAACTTTATCTTTAAGTCCATAAGGTTCTCGAAAAATTTTATAACCCGTAAATGTACTTTTCAAGACCCCTTCACTTTGATCAGCTATAATTAACAGAGGTAACGGTTTTTCGTCTAGCTGAACGTTTGAGCTAATAATTTTTAATGGTTCATCACCCTTCAGAGATAATTTTTAATACAATAGGGACGCTCGAAATATGAAAATTTATAGCGGCCATTTTGTTAAAGCAACATCTGTCAAATTTGTTGTTAATTGTTTAGCAGTCCATGTGTCATGACCGTAGAAGGTCATAGCGTTCAACAACGTGTGTAAACTATCAAATTTTATTATCAAAATCAGTGCTCTCTTCGAATAATGTTCAATGCATTACGTATAGTCAACCCAATCTAAGAAATACGTTTTGACATCTGTCAGACTTATTGCACCAGGCATGCCAACCAAAAAATGGGAACGTACAATATTCGATTCTTAAAAAAATCGATATCGATTATTAAGAGTTGGTAATCATTTACAGTTTGGTTTGAATAATACCAGAATAAATTTAAAACGGATAATTTAAAACACAATATTTATCAGTTTCTACGTATTTGTTGTTAGGTATTTCTAGAGGCACAGTTATAAAAATTTAAGATTATAACTAAATTAAAAATAAATTTTATCACTTTCAGTACAACTATAGTTTAGCTGCCGTTGTTTGATTTTCGATAATGCAGTCAAAATTAATGTCGCTTTCAAAGTCATCCATAATAATTTTTTTTTGTTTTTTCTACAACTTTTGCCCAATCATCATTTGTGATATGGGCACATGCTTCAACGAATATTGAAGAAACAGTCCAAAAACTTAAAGCCGAGTAACAAAATAAGAAGACAAACACAAAATCACAAAATTACGCACAGTAAGCTCCCGAAATGGCGGGATATTGAAATTACGTAGTGGTTTTTATATCGCGGCCTTGTATATATGAGTTTTTTTGCTCACACAAATTTACGTTGACAAATTTTAAAAAAATAATTTTTTTTATTCATGATTCATGTAATTTAACGAATTTTAAAAATAAAAATTGAATTAAAAAATAATACATTAAAAATTAATTATTCGATTATTTGAATATTTTTACCGATTATTGGAATATTTTTGCCGATTATTCGCATAACAATTAATTTTAATCATCCAAACACTACGGTAATGTACATAGAGACATATCATTGAAACGACGTCAAGTAAAAAAAGTTGATAGTGATTATTTTTTAATATTTTGCTTTGTTTGAAAGATTCAAATATAATTTAGTGAAAAAAAACTAAACATGTTGTAATGAAATATAGATAACTTTATAATTCTTCGGATTTACACAACTGGTTATTTTAAATCGTGTGAGTACGCTTGTGCAAAGTTATTGCTAAATGATTAATGTGAAACGCCAAAAGGTATATCTTAGATTTGGTTGACTATAATATTTATTCTCGCCAAAGCCGCTCTGCCGAGTTGACTATTCGAATTTTGTTTGGTGGCCAAATTCGAGTCACCCGTTTCGACAAATAACCAGCCAAACCAAAAGACCTGCTCAAAAAGGTCTACTGAAAACATTACTGCGGTGCGCGAGAATGTATAGTTTTTTTTTCAATTCACGAAAGCGAGCTGGCTTTACTCGTGGGTGAAAGTGTACATGCACATTGCGATAGTGTGCGTGCCTGACGGAACGATCAGTTACGAGCGTGCCGGCACATGATACGTGTACAGATACGTGTTTACCAAAAGTAAAACCCAAGTAAACGTGATTTGCAAGAACTATACTGCAAAACCCGAAACAGTCAATTTTTCGTCGTTCACAAAAACTTAGCCTTTCTGCAGCATAATTGCGTTGGGACTTTGTTCTTCGTCCGTACAAAACCCAACTGACTATTTAACTTATGGTAAAGGATCATAGGCGGGGCAGGGGGTGCTAAGAATCTCCGGTGGAGGTTCGGTTGCCACCTACGACGACTCGACCTGGCAACATATAACGCACGCACCCTGAGGACTGACGAGAAGATACTGGAGTTGGAAGAAGAGGTAGACAAGTTGCGCTGGCATATTATTGGGTTATCCGAGGTCTGAAGAGAGGGGGAGGACACGGTAATCCTCGAGTCCGGCAACTTGTTCTATCACCAGGAGGGCGACCATCTGTCCCAATGAGGTGTCGGATTTATCGTCCACAAGTCTCTTGTCAACAGCGTTGTAAAGACTGGGAGTGTGTCGACGAGGGTCGCGTACCTGATACTCAGAATTACCAAACGGTATTCGCTGAAGGTCATACAGGTTTACGCACCAACCTCGGCACATCCCGATGAGGAGGTGGAGGAAATGTATGAGGATATTTCTAGAGCCATGCATTCCTCCAAAACCCACTACACGGTGTTGATGGGAGACTTCAACGCAAAACTGGGCACAAGAGAAAGGGGTGAGCTGAAGTTAGTGAAATTTGGAGTAGGGCAACGGAACCGTAGGGGCCAGCAGCTGGCCGACTTCATGGAGAAAGAGGGACTCTTTATGATGAACCCTTTCTTCCAGAAGCGGCCCCACAGAAAGTGGACCTGGTCGAGCCCCGACGGTTCGACAAAAAATGAGATTGACTTCATTATGACAACCAGACGCCAACTGTTCAGTGATGTCTCAGTGATCGCAAGGGTGAAAACTGGCAGCGATCACCGAATGGTTAGAGGCACACTGAACCTAAACGTTAAGTTGGAGAGGTCTCGTCTAATGAAGTCAAGGCTCCGTCCCCCTCGTGCTCTAATCCAGAATCCCGAAACCTTTCAGCTCGAGTTACGTAACCGCTTTCAGTGCCTAGAAGATTGCAATGCAGTGGACGATATGAATGACAATGCGGTCGGAGCTAAGTTCTGCAAGACCGGCCGCAGAGGAACACAAAAGCTCTCCGATCACACTCTTAATCTCATGGCTGTTAGACGGGAGATGAGGCTGCAATCGTCAACAGATTTGACAGCATACAGGCAACGGAACAGACAGATCTCCAAATGCATGCGGCGAGACTTATGCAACTTTAATACTGCTCGTATTGAAGAAGCGATTGAGCGGAACCAGGGCTCCCAAGTCTTTGCCAGAGATCTGTCTGCCAGTAAGAGCCAACTGTCAAAGCTGAAGACTGAGTGTGGCAGTATCGTTTCCGGGACACGTGAGATACAGAGTGAGATTGAGAGGTTCTATGGGCAGCTGTACACATCATCGTTGAAGCCACACGCAAGTGTGAGTAACGATCCAAGAGCGGGTCTTATCCGACACTATTCCGATGATATCCGGACGTAGATGGACGTCAGTCTGAGCGAGATTAGAATGGCTCTCCAGCACGTTAAAAAAGGCAAGTCCCCGGGCGAGGATGGAATTACAGCGGAGCTTCTAAAAGCGGGTGGAAAACCGGTACTTGAAGTCCTTCAGAGGCTCTTTAATTCCGTTCTCCATGGTGGCACTACTCCGGAGGCGTGGAGCAGAAGTGCGGTGGTCTTGTTCTTCAAGAAAGGTGACAACGCCCTCTTGAAGAACTACAGACCGATATCCCTTCTGAGTCGCGTCTACGTGCTGTTTTCGAGAGTCCTTACGAATCGTCTAGCACGCAGACTCGACGACTTCCAGCATCCCGAACAAGCCGGTTTCCGAAAAGGCTTTAGTACCATAGACCACATACATACCCTTCAGCAATTGTACAGAATTCCGAAGAGTACAATCTGGCACTTTGCCTGGCGTATGTTGACTGTGAGAAAGCCTTTGATTCCGTCGAAATTTGAACGGTGCTACAGTCTCTTCAGCGGTGCCAAGTTGACTGTCGGTATATCGAAGTGCTGAAGTGTTTGTACAGTAGGGCTACGATGGCTATCCGAGTACTGAACCAGAGTACGAAACCTATCCAACTGCAGAGAGGTGTAAGACAGGGTGACGTTATTTCCCCCGAAACTCTTCACCGCTGCATTGGAAGACGTTTTCAAGCTACTGGACTGGAAAGGATACGGTATTAACATCAATGGCGAGTACATTCACACCTTCAATTTGCCGACGATATAGTCCTTATGGCAGAATCGCTGGAGGACTTCAGCACTATGCTCAATGACCTCAATTGTGCCTCCCAACAGATAGGTCTTAAGATGAACATGAACAAAACAAAGATCATGTTTAATGTCCATGTTACACCTATGCCGGTAGTTGTTGGGAGCAATAAGCTCGAAGTTGTTGACGAGTACGTTTACCTGGGACAAATAGTCCGGCGGAGATGTCAATCGACGGATTCAACTCGGCTGGGCAGCGTTCGGGAAATTACGACACATCTTCTCGTCAGGTATACCTCAAAACCTGAAAACTAAGTTGTACAGCCAGTGCGTGTTGCCAGTGATTACATATGGAACTGAGACGTGGTCCTTCACTGTTGGCCGTATGAGGACGCTCAAAGTCGCTCAGCGAGCTATGGAGAGGGCTATGCTCGGAGTTTCCTTGCGTGATAAATTTAACAATGAGGATACCCGCAGTAGAACCAGAGTGACCGACATAGCCCAACGGATTAGTAAGCTGATGTGGCAATGAGCCGGCTATATAGCTCGAAGAACCGACGACCGTTGGGGAAAAAAGGTTCTCGAGTGGCAGCCTCGTACCGGTAGACGAAGTGTAGGGCGACTCCCCACTAGATGGAGTGATGACCTGGTAAGACATGCAGGAAGTCGATGGATGCAGGTGGCTCAGGACCGTGCTTTGTGGCATACCTTGGGGGAGGCCTATGTTCAGCAGTGGACTTATAAAGGGCTGTAATGATGATGATGATGATGAAACGATCATAGACAACGCCATGTGTTCGCTGCTTTTGCTTGGAGTAGTAGAAAGTTGACCCAAATTTTAACACTTTCTTGGATTTATTTAAGTTAACCTTTAGCTTTTCTCTCGGATTCTTCGGATTCCAAGTAAGACTTCATTATATTTTATTCATTTTGATTAACGAAGTCTGCTTTATGAAATTCGAGTTTTAGAGTGTGAATATGTACTATCAATATTTCGCAGGGAAATAACTTTATCCAGTTACAGAGTCTAAATAATTCGAGATACCTCGTATTTAGGTGTTCAGCGGAAGGGAATTGCAATTTTTTTCGTCTTACTGAGGATTACGACTTAGTGACGTTCGATTTTATAGATGTGCGCCTACTCGGAATAATTGCAACTCGAGTTAACTCGAGTTGAAATTCACGTAACTCCAGTTAAAACTCGAGTTACGCAACTCGAGTTAGTAGGACACACTACTTTTTTATAAATCTTTGGTGGGTCGGGATAACTAAAATTACATCAACACGTAACATAATTAACGCACTTTGAGAAAGTAGTTTGTTCAGAATCGTTTACTGAATCGATTCTTATCATTTTTAATGTAGGTAATTTTACCATATTGTATATATATATATATATATATATATATATATATATATATATATATATATATATAAAACTCTGATTTTTCATTCCGTAGAATTCTGACAGCTATCATTTTTTGACATGTCAGAGATTACAAACCTTTTTGGCCGGGCACATTTTTCAATTTCAATACGTGTCTGAACATCTGAGTCTATACATACATTTTATTTGTTAGTAAATGTATCCATTTTATTAAGTGCGGTACTCTACATGGTTTTACGGCGAGTGATAATTACGTCCCTTTTCATTACAAACAGTAAAAAATGCACAAGTAAAAATAACATATTTTTATTAAAATCTTTAGTCATCATTAATACTTATATCACTATCTTCATCATCGTCATCATCGCTGACATGAATTATTAAAGAGTCTGCGACTGTGTCAATGAAATCGTCGAGAGTGCACATCTTATCTTCTTCTTTGATTGTATGGCTGATACATTCTTGCCATTTATCAGGAGTAATACTACTTATACTTTCCAGTAATAGTTTTTTAACTTCCGCCATTTTAAAACTTCTGTTGTGTCTTGCGACATGCCCCTTCACTTGAGCCCACACCAATTCAATAGGGTTGAGCTCACAATGATATGGGGGCAGTCTAAGCACAGTAATGCCTTGTGCTGTGGCCATCTCGTCTACAATACACTGTTGATATTTGTATTTCTCCTGACCCACAATTTCCAATAAATTAACTTTTAGCATTTTTTCTTCAAAATTTAAATTTTTTGAAGTCAACCACGCTTGGATATCGCCTTTTCTCCATGCACTCGTTGGTACTTTTTCGACCTTCCTCGAATGATAGGGAGCATTATCCAACACTACTACCGAGTTTGGTTTTAATTTTGGAAGTATTTTTGTGAACCACTCCTCAAATACTTCCCCAGTCATCTCCTTGTGGTAATCTGCCAAGCCTTTTTTTTGCCTCAAAAACTAATAAACCATCTTCCAAAAATCCTTCTTCGCTCCCTATATGGCTAACTATAAGTCGCCCCCCCTTTGCCTGTTGGTGCCTTAAGCCCTGTTGTCAAGCCATCGAGGAAAGCTTGTCGTGAAGATTGAATGTTGGTATCACACCACACTTTATTGACGGTATGTCCTGAAAATAAAAATATATTTAATATTTCACTTATACATGAGGACAGTTATATATGCATATAAATTGAAAAATATTACCTGTAAACATGGATTTCTTTATTTATTTATTCATTTTGGTAACAAAAATTTATTAACAAAGTTAATTTAAGTATTACATAAGTACAGAATTCGATTTCCGACTAATACTTTGAAGAAAAGATAGGTTATAAAAAGTTAATTACCACATAATTCAATACTTGCCTTCGTTTACCCACGTTTCATCCTGGTAATATATAAGCCTGCCTTCTCTTCTATATTGTTTAATTTGGTGCAAGTATTTTTGACGCCATAGTACTATCTCCTTGCGATCTGTTAGCGCACTTCGACGTTTGCGACTTGTGTATTTAAAATTTAAATGCTTCAATACTTTTCTTAATGTTGATTTCGACATAACAGGCATGTCTGGATCACCAGTTATCTCTTGGTGAATCTGAAATAAGCATTTACATTACAGTTAAAATGTAGACAGGCAACACAGGTTAAAGTATAGTTTTAAAACAATGGGGGATGTCAGCAACGAGGTGTTAAAGAATTAGCAATAACTTTACCTTTTCAATAGTCGGAATCTCGTTCCTGTAGAAAAACGCGTGAACCTTTCGTCGAGTTGCGGCGAAAGTGAATTCGTCAAATTTTTGTATGAAAGATAGTTGAGGTCCACTCTTTTTCGGCTTTTGAAATTCTTTTGTGTCTTTATATTCTTTGGTAATTTTATAGACACTTGACAGACCCACGCCAGTCATCTCAGAAGTCTTTTTAGCACATTCCGTTGCACTCCAATCAGTTGTTTGCGGCCAATTTTCTATATTATATTTGTAAATATTTAGAATTATGGTCTTTTCGTTGGGCGTAAAAGCACCACGAGGACGCTTCTTTCTGGGAGAAAGAAAGTCTAAGCCTTGTGCTCTGTCAGATGGGGCTGCTTCCCGGGAAGGGCCAGGTTGTGGCTCCATAACGTTTATAAAAATCAACAAACGATCACAAAACGAAAGGTCAACAAGAAAAAAACTTAACAGAATAACAGAAACTTAACAAATATAACAAGATAATAACAACAAATAGCAGCAAACACCGAGAACACATGCGCATTCGAGCATTCAAAGAAGTCGAATGAAAATCAATCAATGTGACAGACGCGACGTGACAGCTAACATTTTTTTAAAAGGTTTTTTAAACCTGGAATTAGTAGACAGTGATGCCAGCTAAAGAATAAAATATTAAGTAATTAAAGTTAATTAGATATATTGTTCGTGATATTGAAATATTTGTTATTTTTGTATTAGGTGACTTGTATAAGTAAATATTTAGATTTACCTTTTTTGTAGGTGAAACATAAAAAATACGTAGCATTTTATTATTTATTGCCCTCAAATGGTTCAAATTTGTCTCTTTTTCGGTGGAGAACTTTTTTAGTAGCAACACTTACGAAATGTCAGAATTCTACGGAATGAAAAATCAGAGTTTATATATATATATATATATATATATATATATATATATATATATATATATATATATATATATACGTATATACAGTATGTATCACATACGTATTATGTATTTTTGGTTTTAATTTAGTTATAGAAAGTACCCGTATTTAACAACACAAAACTAGTCTTCGCAAAAAATATCAGTCTAGCTTTAAGATGTAGGTACATAAGTTATTAATAGATTGATTATCACAGTCAAAATATTTTTTTAAACTTAGCTATTATAAAATTCTAAATAAGAAATTATTTTGGTTGTTACTCTTTGTTGGCCTTCTTCATTTATTGTATTCGATTAATTTGTTACAATAGGAACATTTATTTAATTATTATTATGACTCAAATTAGAATATTATTTACCTAATTAACAAAATATAGGACCACTTATTTAAAAAGTATTTCGATCAAGTATTTTCTGATTAAATAAAAGAAAATAATACTTAAATAATTTCTTGTAAGTTAACACACTTATTAGTATTTTCAACATCAATATTCTCAAATAACTAATCATAGCTTCTTCTAAATTAACATATAAATAAGTTAGTATTTTCAGCAAAATATAATATTCTAAAAAAAAACTAAAACTATCTTCTTGATACTCAATATAAAAATTATGTTAAATAAAAACTAATGATAAATAATAAAGTGTAATCAATACTTGTTAAAAAAATATAGAAGACAAACAAATATCGAATGCTATTGGTAAAAAAAAATTGGTCCATTTTTTTAGGTGTTAGACGGTTTCTTCTAAAATTGCACAAAATTCTGGCTTTTGAAAATAAGCACTGTACATGTTGCCGGTTGTTGTGTTGTTGATGATCGGCAAACTTCGTATAATCACAGAATAAATAATAGTATAACAAGTAGATATAATCGTGGGTGCCATTTATTCGATTCACTATGGCGGGAACACAAAACGCGCACACAACATCAAAACTCGAGTTGGGGAGATCCAACTCGAGTTAAGCGTAACTCGAGTTGATCGGTGACCCATCGCTATTCGATTTATCGAGATTCCACTATACATATTACTTGAAAGGCATATTCACGTGGAAACGTGCTCTTGTGTGCAGGGTACTGGGTGTGGCAGTACGATTTGGAGGGATTTGTGCGGCTGCGTAAGTCGCTACGGCGGCTCGAGGTGTCGGCCCTGTCGCGCGGGTGGCGCCTCGCGCTGCAGCGGCGCACCTGCGCGCGTCGCCTGCGCCTCACCGACGTGCCGACCGCGCCATCTGCGAGCTTCGTGCAGGTGCGTTCAGTGCAGTGAAGTGCAGTGCAGTGCAGTGCAGCTCAGCTTAGAGCAGTTTAGAGCAGTGCAGTGCAGAGCAGTGCGGTAGAGCAGTAGTGGAGCAGTGCTGTAAATGTATGTTTACGGGCCTCCGCATCCACTTACCATCAGATTGACTGTGTGCTTGTTTGTCACCATTTGTATTTCATTTAAAAAAATACACATTACTTAATGTTCAAATCTATCCTGCTTTAAAGTTGGTTCTCGGCGTCCATGGTCAGCTGTAAACACTAGTACAACACTAACGTAGGGCCGTTAGCCGTGATTATCCCTTGGTTTAATTAAGTATTGATTGTCTCTATATTTCTCTCTTTCTGTTGTCATTTAGTGAAAAGATAGAGAGAGAGAGAGAGAGAGAGAGAGAAACTGAAACTTAAACAATTCCTTAACCCTTCAATCCCCATAAAAATCCCACGCAATCGCATGCGCCTGGCAAATCCCGAGCAGTCGCATGCGACGGCACCCACACACAGCACTTACAACAAAAACAAAAGTCAAGTTTTACTTCATTACAAAAAGATTTTATTGTATTTTAATAACAAAAAAGAAACGTACCAAGGGGATGCGGCAGCGTGAAAGCCACAATTATTTCAATATATATTATTCGAAATTATTTATGTAAAAAGATAAATTATACTCACACAAAAACTTTCGTAACAATTTTATAGTAAAACTAAAAGACTAATAAATAAATAGAAAAATCCAAAAATCAATACAATAACATTCACACGAAATTAGCGTACGAAATGAACGTAGATTATAAATTAATATCCATAGACTGCCTAACTTTTTATTCCACTAGAGTATAGAAAATTTCATATTGATTCTATAATGCCAAATTTCTTCATAGAAAAGTTGTCTCTAAACATAAGTATATAGGGGTTAAAGTGGGTGACTGAATATCGAAGCGGTCAAATTTGGACGCTTGGCGTTTGAGAGGTTAAATTGACTTCAATTGTTATGAGTAAGAATCTTAGTATTTCAATATAATTTTTGAATTAACCCTCAGTTACTAAGCTGCAGACAAACATCGAGTTAAATCAGATAGTGTGATGTTGTTTTATGATATGTCTGCAAGCCATTTAGAAAGAGTCGAATTTTTACTGTCACAATCACAAGCAAAATTTCTTGTCCGTTAGAATATACCTGACAAAAAATTTACCACAAGTTACTTTGTTTCTCTCTGTTATAATTAGTATAATTCGTAACTTATTTTTCAGCAAGTGAACGAACACACTGATTTCAAATGGAAACCGTGTCAGTGGAGCAAACTCCATCCGGGACTGCGCGCCCGAGCCACGCCCGAGCAACGTGCCGACTACGTACTGCATGAAGCCAGGCAGACGTTGGGTATTACGTAAGTTGTTTCACACTGGATGTCCCCGTCAGAAAGTTTTTAGGTCTTGATTACACTTGTAAAACTTATAGGTATTAAGTATGGAAACACCACGGATACATCATATGAAGGATACAGCACGGATAAGTGAAGAAGCCGTTCGTGGATATGAATCTTTGACACCTGGCAACACTGAGTATTTCTGTTTTTTGTGCTGTTACCAAAGGCTGCTGATTGTGACATCAGGAGCCGGTGCTGATATCTGCTAACTTCATAGTGTCCTCACTCATATTGTCCGCCTTGTGTCGGTGCTGTATGTTTTATCCGAAACACAATATATGTTTTGTTGGAATGCAAAACATTCACATTGTGTCGATCCTCATAAGACACATCACAGATAAGTGGGAACATTTCAGTTATCTGCTGGTGATACAAACCACAAACGCTGTTTGAATTAAACAAGCACAATTTGTACTTTACTAGCTGGATCGGTAGACATTCTTCTGCCAAGTTATAAATAAATTTTATAATATAAAATTTTCCCACAGATTCTGTGATGCCATTAAACCAATAAATGTGAGTCATTTTGGGTAATAAAAATATATAATATTTAATTTCACAACACAGTCATATATCCCATACTGGCATATTTGTGAACTGTGGAAAGTCGATCAAAAGAACAAATGCACCAACCAGCCATGTCGCAGGCCAGGCATTAAGAATGTGTGCGTCTTCAACGCACACATTCTTAATTTCCACACTTATCGCTCATTTCCACAGTTTACACGAACACTTCACGAAAATATGTCTTGGCTCTGACAATTATATTTTGATACACTTTTACAAAGTCTTTACTAACTTCAGAAATGCTTGAAAAGATTTCTAACGTATTTATAAACTTGACATAACGTATGCAGCAAATCCACAAACGCTATGAAGTTAGCTGATATATTATGAAGAGCGCCCTCTGGCGAAATATCGCTATACTTTAAAGATTTCTACCAATGAACGGCTACTTCACCTATAGGTATGCCTTATCGTGCGGAATTGGCACGATAAGGCAATTAATCTATTGGAATTTTAAAATAGTAATATATATTGCTCCTCAAGTTTCATAGTTTTTTTTATTGCATTGTTATAATTCTTACATTTTCGTTTTCTTCATAAATAACAATAGTAATAGTACAGTTACATGAAGCCAAAATATCTGAAAGGTTTTATCTACCTAATGTGTCGTATTATAAATATTGTAATAATTAGAAATACCTTGATTGCAAAAAGTGTAATTAAGTCCTAATGTCACGTGTGATCTATGATCGTAGCAGTTCGATGATTTAATCAGGCTGATAATTCGGTGGCTAGGCAATAGTCTAATAGACTTTTAGTCAAATTACAAGTTTAACATTTTCACCTACCGATAGTCAGCCTTTTGGATACGCCAAGTGGGTTAAATATTATGGTCGTTTTACTGCCAGTACGACACTAAAAGCTATTTTACAAAATGGCGTCAATAGCTCTTTTCGATAATTGCAATGATATTTACCTTAGAATGATGTAATAGAAAAATATTTTAACTCAGCAACTCGCTCAAACCTCGCAATCTGTGATAATTTCGTATATCCAGAAGGTTAAATATTGGTCTTTTTTGTTAAATGTTATGTTAGGCCGGGTACACATTTGATCAAGATATGGCAAGTACATATACAAGTACTTTATACGATACACCTGATGACCAAGATACAAATGTGGACCCGGCCTTACGTGAGTTTCTAAGAATTTTTATGGATTGAATTAAATGACCGGATTTTATTTAATGGCTTATCCACCAATTTATCCGACTGATTATACGATTGGTCAACAACATACAAATTTCATTATTATTATAATAAAAAAACGTCATCCTCGATATTACTATTTCATTAAAAAGTTAAAATATTGATCCATTAAATAAATTTTTACTTGCGTGGAAATCGATCGTTATATATTTTTAAACGTCGCGTAAAACATTTAATGTTAAAACAAAAAATATAATTTTATAGGTTATGTGGATCTTATATACTAATTAAATTTAGCATTCAGTGTGCTTACTAATATAATTCATTCAATAGAAGTAAAATTATAATTGAAAGTGTGTAATAGGTGACATTGTGTCAGTTTTAAACACAAAAAGCTCGCTTTGGAGACGAAATTATATCGATTAACTATGATTAATTTTCTATGTTAAAAATTTGAATCGAAATAAATTGGAAGCAAATGAACATTATGATTATAGTTTGAAAATCAAAATTTTTTTAAAAAAAATTTCGGTTTTGTTCGCACATCTATTTGTTTTTTTCCGCTCTATACTCTCTACTTCTATAATCTATGTAAAAGTATTTTTCATCATATTCTTCCGTTTAAAGTAACCTACATTTAAAAATTGTCAAAATTGTTATAATAATGGAAATAACTTCATTATTTCCATTATCATAATGTTTTCATTTAGGTAATAAGCCGAAAAATATTTAATTAGTGTATTAATTTTCCACCTGTTGTGTATACAGGTTGTATTGTCTGTAAGTTATAGACAATAGTCATTTGGAGACCAGAGAAAGGTTATATGCTATTAAAAACAAACTATCAACAGTACCTGACACAGATTTTATCTTTGAAACGCTTTACTGCAATTAAATGTAGCGCAGAAAGCGATTTCTAGAAATAGGAGATATTATAAAATGATACAACCTGTATAAACAGTGGTCTTATATTATTTTGACGCGGTAATTCTTAGAGAAATTATAATCTGTTTAAAGTATCCTTAAATATTTCGCGAAAACTTGACAGTGAGACAATTGGCATAAAATTTTATAGCCGCATCATTATTTTATAAGATGGCTGATTCTTTAAGCGGTATTTGGTACTTTATACTTATTTCTAAAATTTAGTATAGAGCATTTGTTATAAAGGGTATCTTGAAATTCGACAAATCGTTCTATCAGTTAGCTGCTTTATGTATGTGTGTGGTGTATTAAATTAATAAACGTGTTATATAATTAATAAAATATAGGGCCTAAAATTGGTGAATTGCCATGAAAGTAACGGCTTGTAATTTAGTTAAAAAATATTGCCGTTTTAAAAATATTCGCTCTTCCAAAGTTCCTGATGCAACAGCTTTTGTAGGTGTTGCCACTTTATAACTTGCTACGAGTATATTATCTTAGTTGTTTTCTTAATTGTGTCATAAATCACAGATTTAGTAACATAATTATACAAAAAATATTTTGATCGTTCATTTAATATACTATTAGAGAATTCATTCTATTGCTTGTATATAGCTTAAAAACTTATTAGCATTATCAAGTGTTAATGTTAGTGTTAAAATATGTAAGCAATTCAATCCTACGATTCTAAAGTGTTTTTAAATATATGTTATTTGTAAAAGAAGTCAATTTCTACTGAAATACTTAAAAAAAAAAACAAAGTATTTTGTCTGTGTTCTCATACACTTGTCTATGGCATATAGTGCAACCCTACCTTTGTTGACAAGACTATCAATACGAATAGTGATAAAATTGTAGAACAACTTCCCTTAGCGAATGTATAATAAACGTGTAGGTAATCATGAGAATGGCCGATGAATATGTTTACTGGCAACAACTCTCAATTTGACGAATTTATCGCGTAGTTTAAAATAAAACAAAACGAATAATTTATACATCTATAATTAATCGTTAGAGAAATTTACTCGAGCGCCAATAGTTTATTAAAATTAAAAGTGATACTTACAATTTAGCAAAATATCAAATATTAGTGTTGTTAATTGGGTTTATCACAGCTATAGATTTACTCGAATGAAATCGATTTACTGTCTTTAATTCAAGGAATCAACTAACTTTTTGATTATGCAGATTCAAATGCGAATTGATCGAAAAAGTTTTATATAACATCAACGTTATATTATTAACTTCATTTCGTAGAGTAAATCTATAGATACATAAAAATACATATTGAAAATCTTTATATTCGTCAAACAAATGTAAATAGTTTAAGATATTATAAATAACAATTATACTACATACAATATAAACAAATAAATAAGAAAGAACGAAAATTATTGGCGGAGTGAATGTAAGCTTAACAACGGGTTTAGTGTAGTTTCGGTGCGAGGGAATGCGATGAGACTATTCAAACATCTAGTCAGAGACACGTGGGAAATTGTAAATATCTTAACCACCGCGTCTGCCTACAATCTTTTAATCAATGCACAAAATCGTTATCAGGTATTAAAGATACATATTATAATTTATATCAACTATATAGCTTTAAGAGAGGAAAATCTCACGAGACTTACTGTATGTAATACAGTTAAATTATACGAAGTGCCACACTGCTATTGTTATAAAATGTGCATGAACGAATATTAAGTAGGTAATAAGAACACGATCTGCGATCTCTGCGTGAAAACGCGATATTTTAATAACAAATATGTACATAATGCATTTCGGCCTTGCTTATAATCGTTGATTACATATTGCTTGTATAACTTAAGTATTAATTATCTCTATATCTCTTTTTCTATTGTCATTTAGTGAAGAGAGACAAATAATGATAGTCAACTTCTATGAGTAAGGCCGTTTATCATGGCAGCAATTTCAAAAAGTTGCACTACGCGAAATTATGACTTGTCGCAGATAAAAATAAAAACTTTGTTACTCAAACATCAAAAAGCGCGTAAAACGATAAAGATGTACGTATACCTAGATGAACAAACATACGTGTCGGGACAAATGATTGATCAAAGTACTATTAGCAATATTAGTTTTAAATCGATGAATTTTTTTACTGTAGCGAAAAAGTAGTCCGTCCCCACAGTACTCAAATGCACGTGCAACACATAGACTGAATGCGGTTTGTGTTTGTTTTTTAGCCTATAGAGAAAACAATTGCTTGATTATCTCGGCTTGTTGAATTACAAAAGCGCTATAATGTTTACATTCGGCTGATGTCAAAATTTATGAACAGATTGATACTGTCCTATTCATTTTC